CTATGGCTGCACGGGGGGTCGGGGCAGTATTTGGGACAAAAGCAGCGCGCGACTACGCTCACCGACAGCGTGGCGAGGACAAGTAGACGCGGGACGCCCATTCTCGTGGTTCGTGTCGGCAAGAAAAGTGGGATCGTGTGCCATTTCATCAAGTTGCCAAACGGGCAACAACATACTGTAGTTGGACAGTATAGCTGCTGCAACACGACTGGTCAACGGACGCGGTTGAGGGGTTCAGAACAAAATATATCTTTTGACGGACAAGACTACTGATTTCCATAGTCAGACAATATGACCTAGCGGGTGAAACGAGTGTCGACACTTCTTCGAAAACGGCCTCGCGAAATGATTTGTGAACAACCTTGGTGCTGGCTTCTCCGACTGCGAGGAAAAGGCATCTCCGAGAAAGCGGGCGTTTGAGTTGAGTTGGGCCGAGAAAATAGGGAGAAACCAAGGCTAGCGGTGTGGGTCATGACCGAATGGCTATGTCGGATGGAACGGCGTCAGTGACGACGACTGACCTGCCGATTACTTGTTCCTGCGAGTGCCAACTATGTCTCTGACGACGTCGTGGACGCGCCAAACATGCGTGACACGCTGTCCGTCATACTAAAGAGAGGTGATGGCGGCGGTCACGGCAGTGGGTTGCGCAAATTTCAACCCAGTTGCAAACAATAGCTGCACTGCAAATAGCCTTCAAGCCCATGTTTGCACTGGTACTAAAACGTGTGTTTATAATTATTCGAATGATCAATCACCTACAACCTACAGCACTCCGAGCACGACCGCTGTCGTCAACAAAAAATGCCACGACAAGCGCGACGCGGCGCTACCGACAATCTCAACCAGAGCCTCGTACGAGCGACAGCGAATCTTGATGTCGGTTCGCTTGATCGAGCCGCGCATGCGGACGACGTCGACAAACTCGGCGGCCAGAGGCGAGAGCGTCCCGTTCAAGTCGACGAGGCCGAGGCGCACCGCGTCTTCGTCGATGCGGATGCCTTGGCGCAGGGCGTTGTGAATGTTGAGATAATACGGCTCGGCCGCCAAGGCGACATGTGCGCACTGCTGAAAAAGCTCAGGGGAGAAGCACACGTCGTCGACGCCGGCGAGGAGCGTCGCGGTCGCAAGACCAAAGTTGCAGTCGCCGATGGGCTTGTTGGCTTCCATTGCCTCCGAGAGCTTGCTGCGAAGGAGCGCAAACTCAATCGGGCGGGCCGTCGCACTGCGCTGCGCCATCGTGTAGATGTACAAGTCGGCGTTGCGCCCCATCGAGTCGATCATGTCGGTGATTTCGACGTTCGCCAGAGTGCACTCGGCTTGCGCCTCGACGTCGTTGCAGTACGAGCGCGGCTGCCACCAGCTCGAGTACTTGGGGTTACACGGCGGATTCTGGCAGTATTTGGGGCAAAAGCAGCGCGCCTCTGCGAGCGCAAGCATACTTAGAAGCACCAGTAGGCAGCGCAAGCTTGACATGCTGGGAGGCGAGCTCTTCTCGTTGTGGTAGAGGGGGTCGTTACTAGTACCGAGCTGTGCTGCTGGGTTGTCGACCAATTTTTGCACCACGTCTTTTCATTGGCCAATCGCCACCAATCACATTGCACTTTCTGCAAGATCGCCAGGATCAAGATCAAGGTCGGGCAAAAAGCTCCGCATTTGAAGTCAACCATGCCGGACTCGACAACTCGCTGCAGCTGAACTTGCCTTTGGACAAGTTGAACTGTACATGGCGGACCTTCTCACTCGTCTCGGGCGCTCAGCGAAGCGCCCACAAGACGTCACTTGACCCCAAACGCCAGCATCGCACTGTCGTTTGAAGCTACTACTGGAGGCTTGCACCGACGTTGCGATGCGCTGCACAAGAATCAAAGCGTAGCCAAGTAGCCGACACCAAGTCTCTGGCGTGGAATGACATCAGGCTGTCACGCAACCTGCTAGACAAATACGTTCTTAGTCGTCGCCGGCACTCGACTCGTCATCGACCATGCGCAGTCGCGATCGCTTGGACGCGGAGGCTGTCGGCAGAATGTCGCCGTCGTCGTCTTCATCGTCGTCTTCGTCCTCTTCGTCGTCGTCCAGCATGCGTAGGCGCGGGCGTTTCCGGCTCGTTGTTTGCACAATTTCTTCGTCCTCTTCGTCTTCACCGTCCGCGTCGTCATCCGCGTCATCTTCGCCACCCTCGTCATCGTCGTCGCGAAGGTCGACAGCGCGGGACGCGGGTACGTCCACCTCGTCGTCAGAGACGTAGTTGTCGCTGACAACAAACGAGTCGTCGCTCTCGTGGCCATACCCTTCATCGTCGTCATCGCTCACATAGTCGCGACGGGTGTTGGCGCGCTGCCGCGATCGGTCCGTGGCTTCTTGCAGCAAGCCCGAGGCGGCCGCGCGGCGCACGGGCGACCGTATTCTGAACCCGTCATGCGCCCCGTCGCGAACGAGCGTCTCGATCTCCATAAAGACATTCGAGGCGAGGTCCCGAAAACAAAACGTGTACAACCCTACGTCCTAGTTGTGAGCTATTGAGCCGTGGATCGTACGACATACCTTCGGGAACATCGAGTCGGAGCGCTTCAAAAGACACGGAGCCTGCTTGACAGCGCGCCGTACGCTCCAGCACAATGTGACGCTACCCAGCTATCGCCATCAACGCTTCGAAAAGAGGATAACATACTGTCTCGTCCCGGACTGTGAGCGTGACCTCACTGTAGTGGTTGGTGACGACGAGGTTGTCGTCTTCGCCCGACTCGGCCATAAACGTTGGAAATCCCTCCGTGATCTCCTCGTCCTAATGCAAGACTTGTAGGGCAAGCAGCGCCGGAGAACGTACTTCTTCCATCTGTAGTACGACAAGCGTGCACGCTTGGTGCTCCGTGTACGCCTCCAGCACGCTGGGAAAATCCATGATGCTAAAGGCCATCCTACGAGGTCCGTGAGCGCATGGCATCGCCCGCGTCCATACCGCATCGCCCGGTAGCCGTCGACATTTTCGTCGTCTTCGTCGACAATGACATTGCGGACGATATGTAGCTCCTCGGCATGGACTCGGTCGACTCGAATCTGATGCGGGTTGTCGTCGTCGTCGCCGTGCGAGTGGTCGTCGTCCGAGAAGGCTTCGTCGTCAAAGGACGCGTCGCCGTCATCGACGGGGCGGGGCACGCCCGCTGCGTTCTGGAGATCGCGAACGCGCTGCCGGACTTCGTACTTGGACTTGGCGAGCTGGTATGCGCTCTCTTCTTCTTCGTCGTCGGGCTCGTTAGGGTAGAAGAGGCGTACGACGTTCCAGAGCGTGACGTTGATGTTGAGCTTCTCAAAGCAGACGCAGATCGGGTCGCGGCAGATCGGGCACAAGCACTCGGCCGCGTTGCCGTCTTGGGCGTCGCACGCCTTGATGAGGCAGAGCCGGCTAGCGCATGACGATGATCATGCACATGCAGCGATGGGCTCGACGCACCAGTAGGTGTGGCCGCAGGACGCCGAGACCGGCTACGCCCATGGAAGAGCTCATGCATCCCGCGAGGCCGTCATGGGATGTACCTTGTAGAGATGCTCATGGCAGATGATGCATTGCAGCTCGTCGATGAGCTTGTCCCGGACCGCGTCCATCTTGCTGCGATCTCCACGGGATCTTTGGCAACTAATGCGAATCCTCCATATGTGTATGTACTTCAAGAGGGTATTTTATTCTAGAGGTTTCATTAAACGATCAAGTTTTATAGGTCGACAAAGGAGGCGAACGAAGCGCAAGCGCCGCGGCGCATCGGCGACACCAGCCACGCGTCGACCTTGCGCACGTAGAGAGCGACGTACCGGCCGTGGTATGATTTCCTGGCTGTTGTCTTCAACGTCAAGCCTCGCCTCCTGCGTTTTAACTTCTCGAAACGTCGATTGTACTCACTTTAGCGTGTATTTTAACGTGATTCATGGCCTTTAGCGCGTATTTTTATTTTCCACATGTCGGCGCTGCGGAGAGAGGTGGTGCAGGTCTACCGCCACTGCTTGCAGTCGGCGGCGCGGTGCCCCGAGCAGACGCACCGCGCGACGATGCGAGCGTACGTGCAGATGAAGTTCCGTGACAAGGCCCACGTCCGTGATGCCAAGGCCATTGCGCTCCTTCTCGCGGATGCCAAGGAAGAGCTCGAGCGCATGAACTACTACCATTCCATGTACCAGTCGGGCCAGACGCAAAAGGCGACGCATGGCGAGACGGCGCAGCTCGCGTCACATTGCCCCAACTGTAATCACGCCTTTGCGACGCCGACCGCGCGCTTCTGCAGCGAGTGCGGCGTCCAGCGCCCGACCATTGCCTAGTCGATAGATTTGCAATCGACACTCGAAGATACACACGTCCATTCGCCTCGAGCTGTGATCAAAGCATCAGGTATACATCGAGCGTACTTTCCGCTGCGTGATCACGAAGGAGGCGCGCTTTTACTCGAGCTAGACGAGAGCACTCGCCTTTGCCCGGCGCCGAGCGTCGAGTGTACTCAGTTTCAAATGCAGCTCCACAGGCGAGTGTTGAGTGGGTCTTGCTACACAGCATTCTTGCTGGGTGCCGGGTCGAGGCTTCTATCGGGCAACCGATGCGACTCCAGCTCCATTGTGGAAGTCGGTACCGGTTGGTCGTGCAGCTCGTTGCAAGCCTAGTGAGGAATATACGCACGAGCAAGAACCGACAGATATGTGCAGACGATGGCGCTTCTTAATCTACTTATACACTCACACTCTCCTAGCCGACGAGGCTGCCGCGTCGCGTCGCTCGCAGGAGCGCTTTGACCTCCATGCTCGCGCCTGTAAACAGGTCGTAGAAGCGAAAGGCGTACTCGCCTGAATAGCAAATGAACCTCTGCCACGATAGAGGCGCGTATACGTACCAGACGGGCCGTCCACGTACAGATTCGGGAACGTCACGCGACCATCGACGGGCAGCGACGTTCGCTCGAGCACAATTTCGTCCTAGCACCCGCATGAGTCTGCGATAGCATTCGGCTTGCAGTCGGCGTACACTGCGGTTGAGTACGGTCAGCGTCATCAAGCTCGGGTGCGGGCTGCGGCGTTGCACCCATCCTTCGTGGAGCTCCGAGACAACGACGGGAAACTCATTCTCATCCTAGCACCACGAGTACCATCGTCATCATCCACAGGCCGGGGACGCGTCACAAGGCGCAACATACCACGGCGGTCGAGTGCAGCATGGCGATGGTGCATTCTTGCTCCAAGCAGTGGGTTTGCAGACAGCCAGGAAAACGCACGATGCCGAGCGCAATGCTAGACAGCGTGAGCGTGCGCCACGTCATAACAAGGCGCCCACCTCGAGCGGCCGTCTGGCGACACAATGCCTCGGACAATACTGCGAGCTTCGCCGTCGATCACGTACGTATCCGACTCGACGTCATCCTCTTCATACACCTCGTCTCCAAAGCCATCGTCGCCATCTTCGTCGTCGTCGTCGTACTCGTCGTCGTCGTTGGGCGTCTCGGCCGAGTCGCTGAGCCGGCTTTGCCTCTCGGCGGCGGTGTTGCCGGCGAGCTTTTCGCAGTCGGCGACCGCACGCTGAAAGTTGGCCTCTTCGACGCGCTCGCACTGCGCGGACGGGCACACGAGCCGGACCACGTTCCATAGCGCGACGTTGACGCTGAGCTTGGAGATCTCAAACCCGATCGACTCGCGGCAGATGGGGCAGATGCAGCTGGAGAAGGTCTCGTCCTGGCCCGTGCACGCATCGATCAAGCAGAGCCGGCTAGACGGACGAGATGCACGACGTGAGGAGGAGAGAGAGGAGGAGGATCGGCGCACCAGTACGAGTGGCCACACGTAAGCGTCGCCGGCTAGCAGAACCGCATGAGCCTCATCCGCACTGCGCTGCATGCAGTCTACCTTGAAGAGCTGGCCGAGGCAGATGGCGCATTGGAGCTCGTCCACGAGCTGCTGCGCGTCGAGCATGCTAGCAAAAAGTCGGTGGCCCGGATATCCGCAACCGGACAAGAAGATACAAACGCCAAGTATAGGACAGGCGGTGAGTAATTGGCGCCGCCGTACCGTAGGGCGGACGGCGGCGCCATGGCGTGCTGCCAGCGAAACTTGAAGGTACACCTTTCGACCACTTCAACATGCAGGTGTCCACGACGACCCCGTTCTCGACCCCCTCGAGTCGACATCCTCGTCCCCACCAACCACTTTGGCATACCTCAAGAAGCTTAGTTTCTTGAAGCGCCAAAAAAGCAAGCAAAAAAAGCTGGCGATTTTCTCGTGGTCGGTGCGGTGCCAAGCACACGACGACCACGTCATGCGAGTCTGTCTCTGGCAACGTTCGATGCGGCTTCCCACGCGCAATCCCCACAAGCTACTTGTGCTCGCATATTCTACCAGGCAGACAACCACCTTCCAATTCATACCGTGTACTAATTTCAAGGGGGCGCCCTTTCTTTTTCGCGTCCACCTTGTTCGTCGTCGAGACGTTGGTGGTCGTTGCGCCGTCTTTGATAAGCAAGGCGCGCATACTGCTGGCCGGGCCGCCGCCTTTACACACGGGAGGATGGCAGCACCAAAACGATGACGCGGCGTCATGGTGCAGTACACTGTACAATGCCGACGTCGTCGTGCTTGTTCCGTGGTAATCAGTACGACGTGGGTGCCGACGGTTCGCTTGGAACCATAGCACCTTGGATGCGGCTTGGACAGGTATCCATCACGCCTCTGCTCGCGTCCCACACTGTGTTACATGGTACCTTGCACAGGAAGTCGACACCAAGTGCAATGTGGCCAAGTGCAAAGTCAAATGCAATATCAACAAGAACTTATATAGAGTAGAAAAGTTGAGGTTTCGTTTGCTTATTCGGTCGTACACAGGAGCGCGACGCCGCGAAGGATCCAGTGCAGCGGTCGGTGTTCGCGCGACGGCAGCGTGACACTAAAGATGAGGTTGCGGTCGTTCCGCGACGGGTACTTGTACACGGGGCACTCGAAACCACCGTACGGGCCATAGTCGCCAGAGCGACTCTTCTTCTGAGCTTTGGTCGTCGCCGTCACAAAAAGCACGGGCAGTGCCGCAAAGAGGCGCTTGGGCTCCGACTCGACGAGCGTCGCATTGCCCTTGTGCCACCCCGCGCCCTCGAGCGCGAGCCCGTGGATGAGGACTCCTTCTTTCGGCGCTTGTCGGATCTGCTCGAGCTTTTCGTATTCCGTGACTTCGGTGTGGTAGACGACGTCATCGAGCGCCCACTTGTCGTTGACATGATGGCGCGTCACTTCTTGGCGCATGGCCGTGAGGAACCCTTGGGGATTGAAAAAACCCGTGAGCCAAAACGTGTTGGGCTTTGTCTTCTCGACCCAGTGCTCGAGTTGCTTGTGGCGCTCGAGCAAGCCCGCAAACCAGAGACCGAGTGACGGTGCGACCCAGCTGAGCTCTTCCATGCCGCGGTAGAGCCACAATGGCGGCACTTTGGCATCAAAGATGGCGTGGATTGTGGTCGCAATGTCGGGCGTCACGACGACCTCGCCCTTGATCGCGCCTTGCGTCTCGCATAGCACCTTGCGCACGATGCTCAGAAGCGTCTGGAGCCGCTGGATCTCTTGCCACACAAAGACGTTCATGGGCACACCAAAGCCGCCGTGCTTGTTGGTCAACAACTCGAGGCACGTTTCGTCGACGAAATCTTTGGGCAGCTTGTCCTTGAGCTCGTCGCACTTGTCCAAGACGACGTCTTCGCGCGTCCGGCCGTTCTTGCTGCTCTGCGTCTTGGGCTGTGTCTCGCTGAGCGTCGCGAGGAGATTCGTCACCTCTTTCACGCGAAAGGTCAAGTCGGCGTTCGGGTGCAAGCCGAAAATCTCCGGCGAGTCCACCTTGGGAAAGCTATTGAGCACGCGATGGTACTCGTCGAGCTCGGTGCTCTCGGGCACGGCGTACACAAAGTCGTTGGGAATGTGGCCCACGAGCGTCTCGGGGTTGAACGAGAAACTCGGCGCGAGCGTCGAGCTATGCAGCCACTCGTCGCAGTAGCTCTTGAAGAGGCGGCGGTCCATGTCGTCGGTGATGCGCCCGCCGTAATGCACTTCTGCAATCATGTACTGGATCGTCGGCCACGACAAGGTCGCGCTCGAGTACAAGTGCTTCTCGAGAAACGTCATCGACGCGGTCAAGTCGCTCGCGTTGAACTCGTATGGGATGGCAAAGCCGAGCGGCCCAAACTTGCGCCGCTCCTGAACAATCGAGTGGAGAAAGCAGAGCGTGAAGAGAAGCGCGCGCCACTGCGCCGTCTCGATGCGCTCGAGCTTGTCTTGGTCGATCACGACCGTGTACGACCGCAGCATGCCGGCGCGAAGGCCCGACGGCGGTTCGTTGGTCACCTTGATGGCCTTTTGCAACAGCGCAATCGAAAAGAGCGGGTGAGGCTCAGACGTCAAGAAGAGTCGAAAGTCGCAGCTCATAGTCTCCTTGTTCTTGAGCAGCGTGTCCGGAAGCGTCTCCATAAACGCAAGACCCAAGTGGCAGTTTTGAAGAAGCACCCACGACCCGTTGAGCATGCCATTGGCCATTGCTTTGGACGCAATGGTCTCTTGGCCCTCCCCCATGGAGATGCACTGGATCGCCTGCCGCTTTTTGCGCGCGAGCGTCTCGATCGCATCCGTCGGGTCGGCGCCCAGACTCAAGAGGTAAATGGCTGGGATGTCGGCGGCCATGTCGGCCCAAATGCTCTCGACCGTGTCCGTGACGGCCTCGACGTACTTGGGTCCCATGCACGGTAGCTTGGCGATCGCGCCCGACTCTTTCGTCTTGATATCAATGTACTCGACGAGCTTGATGAACTCGAGCGTCGCCAAGATCGTGCGGTCTTCGCGCAAACAGCGGAGGAGCAAGAGACGGTAAAAATGCGTCGTGGCGTCGGCGCTGTGCGGGTGGAAGAGCACTGTTTCGTACTCGGGGACAGCGGCCACCTCGGGCGCGTTCTCTTCGTACCACCGGCGCCACGCCGCTTCCGAGCGCTCAATGTCGGCGACCAAGTTGCGGAACACGGGCTTTTCTTGGCTGAGCTGGAGCACGTTGAGCCAAGCGGGGGTCGACATCCACTGGAACGGCTTGCCCTTCTCGCTCGTCCGTGTGGCGCCCGCCTTGACAAAGAGAGAGACATCCGCCGGGTCCAACACGTCGGCAGCGACGAAGATCTTGAAGGTGACCATGAGCAGAAACGCGAGCTTGTCCTTTTCGTAGATGCCGCGGTTCATAAAGCGGTAGACAAGGTACGTCATGGCGTCGACGATGTGGGCGACGCGCTTCGAGGTGAGCGTCGCGCGCTCGGCCACCTCCATCGACTTTTTGAAGAGCAAGAGGAATTGGTCGAGCGACGTCTGGTACATGCAGTTGACGAGCGAGAGGTCCACGAGGCTAAAGTACAAGACGCTGCCCCGCGTCGCGACCGGTCGGTACTGTTCGCGCTTCTCGTCAATGCCGAGCTTCATGTCGGCGGCCGCGAGGAGCTTGTCGTTGACTTCGGTGGCTTTGGCTTTTGTCGACGCAAGGACGCTAATGAGCTCGAGGTCGTCAAGGAGGTTGCCGCTGTTGGACGCGAGCCGCTCGAGCAAGAGCGCGTCGAGACTCAGGAGGGCCTTGGTGTTGCTGTTGACATCAAACTGCACGCGCGTGAGCTGCTCTTCGAGCGACTTTTGCTCGGTTTGAATGACTTTAGCGAGCAGTTGGTCTTCGAGGCCGTCTTGCGTGACGGTAAAGTCCACCAGCATCGTTTTGGCTTGGACTTCGGGCGAGAAGTGCGGGTTTGGGAGGCGCGTCGTCATGTACAACAGGAACGCGTCGTTGTACTCGCAGAGCTTGTCGCCGACGAGGATGTACTTGGATTTTGCTTTCACAATGATGTTCTTCTCCAAGACCGAGTTCATGGCCGGGTCCATGTCCTGCTCGACGCCTTCCAGCACGAGCACCTTGCCTTCCGTGACGCAAAATTCGAGGTGGTCGCGCAGCTTGGGATGGTTGATCGAGAGAAGCCCGGCGGGGGGCAGTCGGCCCGCCTCACGCATGAGAATCCAGCTTAAACCCTGTCCTTGCGGGTCAATGAGAAGCGGGTACTTGCTGCTCATGGTGACCAGAATGCCGTTCTGGGTCGAGAGCGGGTCAGCCGGAAGGCCCTCGACGTTCCAGTCTGCGACCGTGCTCAGGTCGACGAGGAAGTTGGTCAGCTGCAGGTCGGCGGTCACAGGCACTTGGCGGTCCTTGAGGTCTTTGAGAAACTTGACCTTGCACAAGACGTCGCGGTACTCCTTGTTGAACGGACCGCAGTAGTTGACGAACGCACAAGCCACGGCGCAGTCGCCCACGAGGCGCGACTTGCGGTCCGCAAATCGGTTGCTTTCGTCAGTCCAGCGCTTCTTCTCGCCCGCGAGCCCCTGGATGAGCGCGGTCGCTTGCTCCATTTTCTTGCGCGTCGCGAGCGCGTTCTCTTCAACCTTGGCCTTCTCGGCCATTTGCAGCTCAAAGTCGTCTTGGAGTGACTGGAGAACACTCTGGCACGCAATCAGCTTTTCTTGGGCGTGGCGGAGGTCGGCCTGGGCGGCTTCGAGGCGGCCTTCGGCGACCCGGAGCGTCTCGAGCTTGGGTTTCACCACCTTGGACGCGTGGTGGTACTTGGTCATCGCAATCACCCACGTACAGAGCCCTTCGGCGGCTTTGGACGCGTTTTTCGCAGCGACAGGGCTAAAGCCCTCGAGGTCCAGATACGGCTGCAGGAGCTCGATCGTCTCGTCGTTGATGTTGTCCTTTTCAAACTTTGAAAAGTGAAACACATTTTGCAAAAAGCGCGTGTCACTGAGCATGCCCTGCTTGACGCTCGCGTACGAGTCGAGGATAAAGTCGACGCTCTTCTTGTTGAGCGTCACTTGGGCTTTCTCGACTTTGGCGAGCGGGTACATTTGCAAGAGCGCGACGCCGTCGAAAATGAGCTTGATGATATCCCCCGGCTTGGCGAGCTTCTTGAGTTCGTTGAGGTCGTTGGGCTTGATGCTCGAGACGGCCCGCTCGGCCTCGTCCAGGAACGGCTGGGCTTTGGCCAAGTCCTCTTCCGCGTCTTCCTTTTCGCGCTGGATCACCGCCGCATCGCGCTCGCAGCGCTCCTTGATTTTCCCGACAATGTCGTTTTCCTTCTTGGCCTCCATCGACTTGACTTGAAGGTTCTCGAGCATCGCGTTCGCCGCTTGCTCGGCCATGATGAGCTTGGCTTCCTCTGTCTTGAGGACGCCCTTCATCTTCTCGACGTCGGCCGCGCCTTGCACGAGCTTTTGCAGCCCGAGGTTGACGCTGCTCTCGCTGCGGTGGATGTCGCGGATCTTGTTGGCATACAGCTGCTTGTAGAACTCGAGGAACGCCAAGTACGACTTTGGGGTTTGGTACACGTGGCGCCGGCGCTTCTCGAAATACTCGGCGCAGACTTCAATCACCGCGTCATGGAGCCAGCCCATGTGGGTAATGAGCTGGTCCTTGACGGCCGGCGCACACTCGATGCTAAAGTCGTCGAGAAAGCCTTTGCTGACGGCCACGAGCGCCTCGGCGGGCCACGCGAGGAACCAGTCGAGCGTGCAGCCGGACACGAGCGCGGGAAACTTGCGGCAGCGGTCTGCAAACCGCCGGTCGACAGGCGACATGGAGAGCACGATGTGTAAATTGAGTTTGACGCGCTCGTAGAAGAACTTGACGAGGTGCTCGTACGTGTCGGGCGTCGACGGATGCGCTTTGAGCATCGCCGGCCGGAGGTCCGAGACCAGGAAGTTCATTTCGTCTTTTGGAAACAAATTGGGGATCTCGCCTGTCGCCAAGACGCCGTTGAGAATCTCAAGGAACGCGTCGTCCTTGAGCTCATTGTCCGTGCAGAGGAAGACGACCCCCTTGTTTTGCTGCCCTGTCCACTTGAAGAGCTGGCGCCAATCTTCGAGAAACGACACCGTGTTGTACGCCTTTGTGAGCGTGATCTGGAAGAGCTGGAGGCGCGCGAGGACCGACGCGAGCTTCGTGAGCGACTGCTTGCCCGAGCCACCAACCCCCACGAGCATCATGTGGCTTTTCGGGAGCCCGAGCGCGCGTACGACGCGGAGGACGTGGAAGAGGGCGTCGTCAAACAAGATGAGCGCCATTTTCTTGCTCGGGTTGTCGCGGTTGAAGGCCTCGAGAAGCGCTTCCATGCGCGTGCGCACCGTGAGAATCGATAGCACGTTTTCGTATAGTTTCGGGGCCTCCTCCAGCAAAAGCCCGTCCTCGTCGCGCTTGTCGTCGCGCATAAAGTCGACAAATAACGCGGGCGCGTTTGGCAGCTCAGTCTGCGTCGCGTCCTTATTGAGCTTTTCTTTGCCTGTCGCGACCACCGGCTTGAGCAAGAGATTGTCGGACGTTGCATTGAGCTCGTCGCGAAACTTGGCCTTGTCCTCGAGCGTCGTGAGGCGGTCGCAGAAGAGCCGGTCGCACTCGTGGCGCCACAGCTTGACGAGATACCGGTCGGTCGAGACCATCTCAAAGCCGCGCAAGAGACCTTGAAAGATGCGCGCGAGATCCCGCATCGTAAAGATGTAGTGAAACTTTTGCGGTGTCGGCAGCAGCGTCTTGCGCATGAAGCTCCAGACGTGGATCGTCGTGTTTGTGAGCTTGCTAGCGACGTCGACGATGGGTTTGTCCTTCTTCGCGTCCAAGAAGGACACACGCCACTTGACGATTTGGCCAAAGATCGCGTCAATGACGTCGAGCGACGGCACGAGGAGGTTGAAGGCGAAGAAGTGGCGCTTGAGTCGGTTCGGAATGTCATTCTTGCCGTCTTTGGCGTGCGGCATGGCCGCCACGTAGTACAAATCTTCAATGACCTTGAGGTCGCCGCGCTTGTCCTTATCGAGGAAGCAGAGCCCGGACGTCTCCATGAGTTGGCGCACGACCTCGAGCGTTGGCTGGTCGCCCCACGCATTGCACGCAGGCATCGATATGTCGTCAAGAAACAGCGTCATCTTGCGGCCGTGGCTCGGCCCAAAGTTCTTGCCACCGCGCTTGTCCAAGTCCGCCTCCAGCGTTTGTTGGAACCCGCCGGGCGAGCTCACGCTCGAAAAAATGATCTTTTTCACGATCGACGTGTCGGCGTCGAGCTTGTCAAAGTACATTTGCGCGGCCGACGTCTTGCCCGTGCCGCTGCCGCCGACTAGCAGCACGGGGCGACTGGTGTTGACTTGTTGTAGCAAGTACAAGCAGCGCGTCGTCTCGACCGTCGGGATGACGAGGCTGGAAATGTCGAGATCCACCAGTGACGAAGGCGCGTCCCACGGCTCGAGGCTCCAGCGCTCCCACTCAAGCGACGTTGGGTTGACGACAAAGTCGAATACCGACGTCTTGGCTTGTTTTGGGAAGAAATGCTTTGTGAGCTCGGCGAGGTAGTCGCTGAGTCGGAGACGATCGTCTTGCTCGTACAAACCGCCCACCGCCCACGCGAGCGAGAAGAGAAAGAGCCGCTCGAGTTCAATTTCAACCTCGGCCGACTCGCTGAGCTCGGCCGACGCGATCACGCTCGCTAGCAGATGAAGGCACGACTCGACCATGGCGCCACGCGACACGTGCAGCACGGGCTTGCAGCTTTTGCTTAAAAACTTGAAGAGGTGGCCTGGCGACGGCCCGCACGACTCGCCCATATACTTGAGAAAGAGACTGCGCAGTATGGGCCGTTGGTCGTCCGGCCGTGTCGACAGCCAGCCTTCGACGAGCGGCGACCACCCAAGGTCGGTCTCGCTCACGTAGATGATGCCGGCGCGGCTCACCGTAGCGGGCGACGCATTGCGGAGGTCTTCGACCTCAAACATGAGCTTGCAATTGTCGGTCATCGGGATGCGGTCGCCGTTCGCGAGCGTCAAGAGCTTGTTGTCGTCGAGCACCGTGTTCAAATTCTCAATCCAAATCGCGTCCACTGGTCCGTCGCAGACGATCCAGGACACGTCCCGGCGCGACCGGTCGTTGTACTTCGACCACATGGAGGCAAAGACGCCGTCGAGCCACTCGCCACTGAGCTTGTCCGTCTCGCCAAACATCTCTTCGGCGCGAATGGCCTTGGGGTTCATGCGCACTTGGCGGTGGAGTGTTTTGGTGTGAATGGCGAGCGCCGACTGGAGCACTTTGAACATTTCGCTTTTTCCAGTGCCCGCGGGCCCGACCACCATGATACCGTGCCGCACAAGCGTCGTGTCGTAGAGCTGCGCAACCTTGAGCGTCCATGGCGGGTGCGGCACCTTGTTGGCTTTTTCAAGCGCTTGGACGACGAGCTGCGCGACGGGGCCTTGCGCACTGCCGTTTGCCGGCGTCTCGACCGCCGGAAAGATGTCTTTGAGCAGCGAAAGGAAGAGCGGCGTGTCCTGCGCCACGAGCTTGGACACGTTCATGTCCCGCAGCGTCCGCAGCAGCAGCATTTCTTCGTTCGCGTCCAAGTTGGCGCGCTTGGTCTGCCCGGCCGTGCGCAACACCGAGAGAATGTTGCGCAAGCCAAAGTCGTAGTGCTTTTGCTTGGAGAGCTGCTCTTCGCAGAGGCCGTAGAGAGTTTTGAACTTGCGTGCGAGGTCGCCAAAGTTGTCGTAACCCACAGAGCAGAGCTTGACCTTGATGATGATTTCGCGGTCCGGCACCATCATGGCGACGCCGCGGAAGAGCGCTTTGAGGTTCTCGGGCAGTTCTTGCCGGCCTTGGTAGCCCGGGTTCATCGTGATAAAGTACCCGACGTCGACGTTGAGCGGAATGCCTTGGGTGTCGCCGGGGAAGATAAAGCTCGTGGCCTGAGTCCGCTTGGCGTTCGTGATCGCGAGCACCTGCTGCGCCACGACCGAGAGCACGGGCAGCTCGATCCGGTTGAACTCATCAAAGCAGCCCCAAAAGCCGGCTTGGCACAGCCCCTTGAAGATCTTGGCCATGTCCAAGAACCGCTGCTGGTCCGTGCAGTTGGTGACGACGACGTAGATGCCCAAGGTGCGGCCGAGGTCTTTGACGGTCTCGGTCTTGCCCGTGCCCGCGGGGCCGGTGGGTGACCCCCCGAGGTACATTCCGAGCGCCTGCGAGAGTGTGATGTAGCACCGATCTGTAAGCGGCGTAATCACGAGGCGTTCCTTGCAGCCAAGGTACTCGTACGCGTACTTGAAGTCGACGTCGCAGATCGAGATGAGGCACGCGTCCGGGCCAAAGCGGTCGGCGGCCGGCGCCACGCGCCAGTAGAACCGCGCTTGCTTGAGCCACTCAAAGTCCGTGGCGTCCTGGATCTTCCGGTCCTTGAAGAGCCGACCGAGCTCGGTAAAACAGTCGCGTTGGTGGACCTGGATCGTAATGAGCGTCTCAATTTTGATCCGGTTGAGTTTCGTGCCGAGGTCCGTGAGGCACCACGAGCTCAATTCAGAGAGAAGCATTGCTTGCTTCTTGCTCGTCTCGCCCATGATGCCTTTGATCGTCTTGCACCGCGTCAGCGCGTCTTGGCTCTGCGCGGTCCAGAGCATTTGGATGCCGAGGAGGGCGAACTGGCCGCAGCTCTTGTTGACAAACTCCCGCAGCGGCAAGTTCATGCAGTCAGCCGCTGCGTCGCGGCAGAGTGCTTTCATGGTCGTAAACATCTCTCTCTCGAGCGCGCCGAGCCAGTCTTCAATGTTGCCGTCGGTCAAAACGGGTTTGAGAAGCGGAATCGTCTCTTCGTCGTTGCCAATGATGGACTTGAGCGCGACAATCTTGCGACTTTCGGTCTTGTCGTGCTGGACGCGGTTGACAGCGTCAAAGATCTTTTCGTAATACTGCTGAACCAGCGCCGGGTCGGACCCACGCGAGAGCACTTGGAGCAAGAACGGGTTCGAGACAAAGTAGAAGCGCGGAAACTTCATGCGCTTCTGCTCCAGGTACCCTTCGAGCGACTTTTGGCACTTTTCCAGCTCGCCGTACAAGATCGGAAGCGTGCTCTTGAGCGCTTCGTTGGCGCAGGACGCGACGACGTTGCTCGTTTCGTAGGCTTTGGTCATGATCTTGATCCAGTCCTTGTCGATTTTTGCAAACTTCTTGGCTTCGATTGGCATCTGCTTGGCAATGTCGCCGCCTGTAAAGACCGACTCGAGCGACATCCAGAGCGTCTGCACCTTCACCCAGAGCTCGAGTACGTCGGCGGTCTCGCTCAGCTGCGTGAGTTTTGACTGCACGAGGTCCTTGAACGGCACGACGTGGCGCAAGCTGAGCATCCCCTGGAGCTGCAATTGGGCTTCTTCGAGGTCTTCAATGACGCCGACAAAGCCTTTGAGCACGGGAATGCCGCGGGTCTTCCACTCGCCAAACTCAAACGACGCGGCCGCCCACGCTTCTTTGAGGTCCTTGAGTTTCATTTCGATCTGCAGCTGCTTTTGCGCCGAGTCGCAAATGTACTCGATCTCGTCTTTTGTCGAGAGAAGCTTGGCGTCGAGGAGGTCCTTTAAGCGGAATGCATCGCTGTCGTACTGCAGCGGCGTGCTCGTCATCTTGACAATCTCGACCCAATGGCGCGGCTTGATGCAGTCCTTGCTGAGCTCCCGAATGAGCGGCAAGACGTCTACAAAGTCGCTGATCTCCTTGCGCAGCAGCCGGTACGCCTCCCACTCGCAGAGCTTGCGCGGCATGCGCTTGCAGCGCTCGTCAAAGATCGCAATGCTACTGCTCATGTCGTCCAGCGTCGACGGCACAGCGCTCCAGAGCACATTGCGGTAGCCTTCCATGGTCTGGACCACGTCCATGTACAGTCCGTAGAGCTGGTCGAGGAGCGCGAGCTCCTTCCGCGTCTTAGTCAACTCGGGGTACTCGGTCGGCCGCATGCCAAAGAGCTCTTCGCCTGCCGCGTACACCTCGAGCTTCCGGTCGCGCAACGCGAGGAGCTCCTTGAAGCGCCCGAGGCGCTCGACCGCCTCGGACGGCTTGAGACCGCTCACCATCGGGCCGTTCGTGCTGTACTCGGCCCGGAACGAGATCGCGTCGGCTTGAAATTCTTTGACGTCCTTTGTGAGCTGCTTCTTGAATTTGCCTTGTACTTCGCTGAGGTTGTCGGTCACTTCCTCGGCGTAGTCGACGAGCTTGCGCCACGTGGAGCGCACGACGCTCTTCTGGTCCATCTCTTCCTTGTCCATGTAGCCGCCGGGCAAAAAGTGCTCGAGCATGTCGTACATGTCCAAGATCGGGTTGATCTCCATCTCGATCGACGACTCGCGCTCGCGCACCTCTTTCAACACGAGCATGACGTACCGAAGCGAGTCCAGCGACTCGACATCGCGGTTGAGCTTGGTCGTTGTCAGCCGAATGTAGTCGGAGAGATTCGTGAGCGCGGACCGCGCTTGCTGGTGCACGCGGTCCGAGTACTGCACCTTCCACTGCCGGCACTCGTTTCGGAGTTGGAGCTTGAGGTTTTTCGTGTTGAGCGAGAGCGCTGCAATGTTGTGGACCGGCGCGATCGCGTTGATCTCGGCCTCGACAACCATAAAATTCTTGAGCTCATTCTCAAAGTCCTATACCATGTGAGAGGTTGCGTTTGAGATTCAAATGGGCGACGTCGTACCTGAATCGACGGGTTGCGCTTGATAAATTGGTTGTACCGAAACTCCATGTCCTCTTTCCAGAGCCAGTCGTACTTTTTGAAGGCGCTGAGGTACTCGTGGACCTGGTTTTTTGTGCCATGGAGCGCCCCCGTCAGCAACAGCGCAACTTTGATGATCTCCGTGTCGCAGCCGAGCCGGTCAAAGAACGTGACGCGCGAGCTCTCAGGGAACACGTCTTGTTGGCCCCACGTGTAGAGCGATTTCGAGCACTTGAGGACAACGACCGCAGACCGGTTGATGGCGCGCTGAATGTCCTCGAGGCTCGGACTCAACCGGACGCTCGGGACGCTCAATTGCACGTCAACTTCAAAGAACGGGCGCTCGAGAAAGAGGAACCCCGTGCCGGCCTTGGAGCACACGCGCTTTTTGATCGCGTTGAGCGAGTTTTTGGTGCAATTCAAGAGCGCACGGTACAATAGTGTCTTGTAGTGGCTCCGGAAAGCGTGCTGGGCGTCCACGTCAACGACGACGGGTGTCGGCAGCGCACTCGTCGAGACGAGCTTCGTTTTCGGGTCCGGCGCATCGACGGTAAAGTCGGTAATGAGCCGAAGCACGTCGTCGACGGCGTTCTCAATCTCCGTGTTTTTGGCCGCGAGCATACTCGTGACCGCCGCGACGTTCTTCTCCTGCATACGCACAAAGTCGTCGAGCGCAAACGATTGGTCTGTCGGAAGGCACACGAGCACGGCTTTCGAGACCACCTAGACACGTCGTTTTGGAGACCTTGATACCTTGATACAAAACGTACTTTGAGATTTTTCTCGACGCGGTTCTCGATCATGTCGTTGACACTGTGGATGAGCTCTTCGAGCCGCTGGAGACCGAGGTGGACTTGGAGCTTGTACGCGTCAATGTTCATGCTCGTCCACGTAAGCGTGACCATGCCCGGCCGGAGCTTGGCCTGGATGTCGTCCAAATGGGGCTTGAGCAGCGTCGCGGTCATCGGGATGATGCGGGCAATCACACGGTCGTACTCACGCAGCGTGTACGTGAGCTCGTTGAAGTAGTTTTTGAACTTGTCTTCTTGGAGCATGACCATCTTGGCGTTCTCAGGAATGTCAATGCCCATCCGGTCGAGGCACTTGGCTTCGCGAATGAGCTGCAGGATTTCCTTGTCAAAGTTGACGTAGAGCTTGTTGGTCTCGGGGTGGCGGATGATGAGAGTGGCGTGGAGGCCGCCTTTGGCCGTGTCGATCGACCGGCACCACGCCTCGTACCAGAGGTACTCGAACGCGACGAGCGTCCGCGCGACCTTGTTGTACGTCTTGATGACTTTTTTCGAGTCTTTGGTCGCGAGCACGCTCGGGTTGCTCTCAAACTTGCGCATCGGCTCTTCGATACGTCGGAGGAGGTGCCGCGACCAGAGAATGTTGCCCGCGACCGGCGGCAAGTTGCGTGCGATTGGCGGGTCGTGCCGGTGCTTTTCGTAAATCTCTTGCACCGTCGTGAGGTCGAGACCGTAATTGTGGAAAATGACGGTAAATTTCGAGTCGAGGTCGTTGCGCAAGTTCTCACGCTGCAGAATCGTCTGGAACTGCTTGAGCAGATTGAGCGACTGCTCGATGCTCGTGATCGACTCGAAGCTCTGGTTGATAAAGTGCTGGAACGAGAGCTCGAGGTCCGAGATGCGCACGTTAAAGTCCACGTAGTCGCGGTCAAACTTGTTGTTGTGGTAGTCCAGCAAATCGTGCTTCTGGCCTTTGAACTCGGTGATGATGGTCTCGAACGTCGCGATGAGCGACCCCATGCCCTCGAGCGAGTGTTCGGCGAGCGACTGGAACTGGTGGATCGTCGAAAACATGTCGATGAGCCGGATAATGCGCCGGCAAAAGAGGTCAAACTTGCCAAAGATCTGGGTCTCGCTAAAGTCAAACTGCTTGCCTTTCGGCATCGTGAGCAACTTGTCCTTTGTGAGCCGGTACTGCTCTTGGTACGCTTCGTTGAGGCGGAGGCACGTCTCGAGGTTCTCCAAGAGGACTTCGGGCTTTTTGTGCCAAATGTACTCGGGCGGGTCCGTCCCGACAATCGTGCTCTTGCACAGCACGATCATTTGGTTGGTGATCTTCATAAAGAGCTTGGTCATGCGCTCCGTCGTGTTGTAGTAGCGCGCGATCGTGTGGATCATCTTGACTGCGTTCATGAGCGCGGGGAGCGCGTCGATGACGCTGCTGGGTGACCCAATGTAGAGCGGCTCGATGAATTTTTCGAGCGTCGCGAGGTACTTGACGTTGTCCTTGGCCTCGTTCGTCGCCTCGGTGATGTTGATGTCGATCTGCTTCCACTGGCGCAGGAGCGAAAACACACTTTGCTTGTCCAAACTGCTCTCGTGCTGCTTGGTCACGATCGTCAAGACACCAATGACCATCTTGCACTCCTTCGTCTTGAGCTGCTCGGTGATGCCTGTGAGCCGCTGGAGCCGGCCTTTCCAGTACTCGAGCTCCGTGTCCGGCCCGGACTCGCTCGACTCCCACCGCGTCTGGTCGCTGTCGTCCAAATACGCTTCTGTCTGCCGGCACCAGTCTTGAACGAGGTCCACAAAGTGCACGACCGCACACTCGTCGTTGGCAAAGCGCGAGAGGTTGCGCGAGTCGTTGGGGTCGTAGCGCTTGTCGGGCTTTCGGAGCTCAAGGCCCGCGCTCATTGTCTTCAAACTACCTTGGACGTCGGTAATAAAAGCCTTCATGCCGTGGAGGAACTCGTTCTTGCACTCGACGTCGGCTTCGCCCCACTCGCTCTCGTCGCGGGCGTGGAGCAGTGGCAGATACAGCTGCGAAAAGAGGGCTTCCATTGTCACGAGCACCGACTTGTCGAGGACGCCAAACTCGAGCATGCCGTCCGTCGCGATTGCAGGGTTGATGGTCGTGAGCTGCGCCATTTCATCCGAGAGCGCTGACGCCGCCGAGACGCTCGTGCGGGGCAGACGCACGATCGAGAGTTTGGGCGGCTTGTGCTTCTTCAAAAAATAGACCGCGCGCGAGAGAAGCGGCTCGGTCTCGCCGTCCGTGACGAAGAGCTCCGGGGCTTTCAGTGCATCTCGCTCGTCCTTGGGGCTGGACGCGTCCGACGCGTTGTCCGAGACGCGCGAGTCGCCATCGACGGCGTCGTACTGCCGGACTTGGTAGTAGAAGAAGAGTTTGGACGGCCCCGCCGGCGAGAAAAAGACCGAGAGCATCTCCATGATGTCGTTCGTCTTCATGAGCTCCTCGACTTCGCCCTCATCGCGGAAGCCGAGGCAGAGGTGGAGCTTCTGGATGATCCAGCGGTGCCGGGCTTGGAACGCCATCGAGCGAATTCACCCTTGACGCGATTCGTCGAAACAAAAGTGCAATCTCGACGTCGATTGGCTCAAATAATTTTTCGGTCTCGGATTGGTCGAGCGAACCGACACGATCTTCCGCCACCCCGTTTGGTTTTACTTGTTTAACGCATACGCCATCACGTTTTAGTCGACTCGATTCAACGCTACTATGCGAGCTTGGGCACGTCTGCGTTCATGGCATCCCAGTATGTCTGGAGCGAGATCGAATTGTCGCCATGGTGGTCCATCGACTTGAGTCGCTTCTCCACGTCCATATTTGCACTTTGCCGAAGACGGCGCGTGCAGAGCTCGTCGACTAATCCATTAACGTCAGCGTCAGCAACCGGCGGGAAATACATCGCACGCGAGACGCGGTGGGTCGTTGCGCTTGAATCGCAAGCGAGAAACTCGACCAGCGGAATCATTTGGCACGGTTCAGGCCCGTGCTTGTCCCGACTGTAGCGATCGAGCATGGCAGTAAACTCGGCAAACGAGATGCGTCCGTCCATGTCTTCGTCGACCTCCCAGATCACGCGCTCGAGTTCTGCCTAGGGTCCATTGTAGGAGTAGGTAAAAGATTGAACCATATTCGTCATATCACTTTGGTCAAGGCCAGCTGCAGCTCTTTGCACACGATTGCAAGCCCTGTTGTCGAAATCGACGCAGAGGGGGTCACAGCCATCGCGACAAGCTCGCCTCGAAGGCGGTCGACCTCCTCTTGGCGCTTTGTCTCGTCATCGGTGTCGAGGCTCGTCGCCTGCGAGGGGGCGTCAGATTCGAGCCGTTGGAGCTTCTGACGGAGCGGCGCTGTCGCGAGGATATTAAAAACACGGACCGTCTCGTCACTCAGAGGGCCGCCAAGACGGCGTGGCGTGCCATGAGGCGCCACTTGGGGCATCTCACCTGCACTGAGAGCCGAATTCAAGTGCAATCTGAGCTGATAAATTTATTCAACGAAACGCCACCGCCTCTAAATGACTGGCTCCAACACCGAAGCAAGGACACGAGAAGGTTGCAGCTGCTCTTCGTGTAGTTCCACAGCTCCTAGCAGCGCTGCTGCGAATATCGATGAGCTGGAAACGCAATGTGTCAAAGACAGACGCCATCTGGAGGGCACGTCAAGATGTGATTGGCTGGCATTTCGAGAAGATTCTGGAAATTCGATCCAAAATGCACGTTTGCGATGCTGCAAAGTGGCATTTCCGAATTCGATTTCACTCAAGACAATGGCGATCGACTACTACCAGGTGCTTGGCGTCGCCAAAACCGCGACCGACGACGAGCTCAAGAAGGCCTACCGCAAGATGGCGCTCAAGTGGCACCCGGACAAGAACCCGGACAACGCCGAGATGGCACAGAAGAAGTTCCAAGAGGTCAACGAAGCCTACGAAGTCCTCAGCGACAAGCAAAAGCGCACGATTTACGACCAATACGGCGAGGAAGGTCTCAAGGGTGGCATGCCTTCGCCCGGTGGCAGCCCCAGCGGCGGCGGCGGCTTCTTCCCGGGTGGCAACGCCTCGTTTGGCGCGTCCAGCGGCGGCTTTCCCAGCGGCTTTTCGTTCCACTCGACGGACCCGACCAAGATTTTCGAGCAATTTTTCGGCACGTCCAACCCGCACGAGGCCGAGCACATGGACCCGATGTTTATGTTTTCCAACATGGGCATGGGCCGCCAGGGCTCGTTTGGCACTGGCTTTGGCAGTCCGCAGCGCAAGTCCAAGCGTCCCGAGCCGCTCAAGCGCGACCTCGAGTGCACGCTCGAGCAGCTCTACACGGGGTGTAGCAAGAAGCTCAAGATCACGCGCAAGATTTACGACGACCGCACCAACGCCATGCGCGAAGAAGAGAAAATTCTCGAGATCCAAGTCCACCCGGGCTGGAAGGCTGGCACGAAGCTCACGTACGAAGGCGAAGGCGACGTCTTGCCGGGTCGATTAGCCCAAGACATTGTGTTTGTCATCCAAGAAAAGACGCACCCTAAGTTCAAGCGCGACGGCGACACGCTCGTTTACACGGCCAAGATTTCGCTCAAGGACGCGCTCGTCGGCAATGGCACGCTCTCGATCAAGACGCTCGACGGACGCCACGTCGACATGCGCCTCGACGGCGTCGTGACGCCAACGACGCGCAAGGTGTTTGTGGGCGAAGGCATGCCGCTCTCCAAGAATCCGCAGCGCCGCGGCGACCTCCACGTGCAATTTGACATTCAGTTTCCGACTACGCTCAGTGCGTCGCAAGCCGATCTCATTCGCCAGGCGCTTTAATCGTTTAGTAGCTTGAAAGAGTAGCATAGTCGACTAATATATATGTATGGACGTTTAAGGACGCAGGTGCTTACAACGTCCCACGTCGGCTGAACGAGGGCCGGTGGAACCCGGGCGCAAGCTGCTCGAGGAGCACTTCGTTGTTGAGGGCGTGCGTCTCGGAAATGTCGTCCGAGATAGGCGCTGCCTGCTGCTTCTTCATGCGCACATAAATAGAGTCCTTCATCGCATGAAGTTCGCGCTCGAGGTTGTCGAGCGCCGTCACTGCCGGCACGTTGGCGTAGACTTGGACTTCGAGGAGCGTGACCATGCTCATCATCTCTTCGAGGAGGCGCGTCTCCATCTTGCGCTTCTCGACCTTGACCGAGAGCACTTGTTTCTGGAGACGGTTCACAACGTACTCTTGCTCTTGCTCGAGCTCGTTCTCAAGGTTGACCTTGTCCAAAATGGCGTTTTGGCTGCCAGGGTTGGCGTTCAACGCGGCCTCAAGCTGCTTTTGGAGGCGATTGACCATGAACTCTTGCTCCGTCTCGAGCTTGTTCTCAAGGTCAATCTTGTCTTGCTGGAGCTGGCGCAGCTTGCGCTGGAGCGTGTTGGTCAGAAACTCTTCTTCACGTTCGACCGAAAGCGCAAGCTGCTCCTTCTCTTGGCGAAGCTGGCCCAAGCGCATGAGCAGCTTGTTCGTGAGGCGCTCTTCCGACCGCTCGGCGTCCGAGCCAAAGCGCACGAGCTCTTCGCGCGACCGGCGCAGCTCGGCCTCGAGGAAAGCGTTGCGGCGCGTGAGCCGCTCGACCTCGGTCTCGGCCGTCGTAGTCGTCTCGGGCGCGCTCGTGGGCATGCTGGTGTCGGAAGCGCGAGGAAGATATGCGAATGCGCCAGAGACCAAACCAAAATTTCCAGACTCCGGATAACATTATCCGGAGATCGCAATAAAATCGCCACCGGTTCTTTCCGCACCAGCTGGGGCAGAGGCACGGAGCGTATCTTGAGCGGTCCCAGCGTCCGGCGGCCACCGCCGACAAGCGCTCGGCTCGACGGCCATGCAACCGCTGGGCTGGCGCCGATGGAAGCACGACGAAGTTGATGTATCAGGCCCTCGCTACACACACGTATCGCAGGCAACCATGCCACCGTGTACCGTGTAGTGCTGGCTCCAGCTGGCGACGACGCCGCGCGCTGGCAGCCGTCGAAAGGTACTCGCATGCATCGAGCCGCTTGGCCTCGCAGGTGCTCCGCGGGAGGAGCATTTTCGTCTTGTGCAGTGTCGTGCACGTGCACTGCAACGGCAGGCAATCTTCCGGCGGCGCGAGTTTTATGCGTGCGACCTGTGCGACCGCGTACGACATGTCTAGCAATGGCGTCAGTCGCATCTGCCCATGCGCCGACATGACGGCGACGAGCCCACGCCGCGTGCAGCATTGCACAGGAAGTTTTGTCGGCGCCATGACGCCGCCGTCGCGGCGAGCGGCCAAAGATACTTTTTGCGTGCTTGGCTGTGCAGTTCCGATTTCACAGGTGCTGGTCGTCGCGGCTTCTGAGTTGGCTGAGAGCGATGAGCAGAGCCGACATCTCGTTGAAGACGTGGCGTCGAAGTTGAGAGCAGCAGCGGCAAGCACACATCCTCTCTCGTCGAGTCGCCGGACAAAAGAAGCTCGGCGCATAAATAGGGTGCGCTCGCGGCTTCTACTGCAAGGCGTACGTCGCTGTGTTGTGCGATCAGGAGATCTTGCAGTCGTGGGTGCTGGCCACGCAACCGAGCGATGCGATGATGACCCGTCGTCATGTCCGACCTCCAAGGAGCATTGCGATCGGACCAATTTCTGGTTCATGTGCTACGACAATGAAACATCAAAACTGGTTGTGGGCGCTATTGTAGTTTTAAATAATCTCAGACGCGGTCCCTTGTGAGCGTGTCGATCTGACGTTGGTAGAGCTGCTTGCACTCGCGGAACTCGGTCTCGAGCTCGTCGAGCTGCTCCTCCTTCTCACCAAGAAGCTCCAACAGCACGTTCTGGCGCACCGTCACGGTCTCGAGCGCCGCTTTTGTGGATGCGAGCTCCGCGGCTGACGTTTCCAGGGCCGCGTTCTGCTGCTGGAGCGTCGCAATCGCTTGGCCGCTCGCCGCTTTGACCGCCTCGAGCTCGTCCACTTGCTGCTTGAGCAGCGCCGCTTCGCTCTCGCGGAGGCGCACCTTTTGCTGGAGTTGGTGCCACTCGACCAGCGAGACATCGCCCGTCGTTGCACTTGCGCGCTCGGATACGAGGAGCTCGGCCGACGACTTGCGTTCGCGATACGATGGCCGCGATCGGTCGGCCACCTGCTGCTCGAGCTGCCGGACCTGCGCCAAGTACGTGCTTTCTTGAGCCTTGGCGCGAGCGAGGTCGGTGGTCAGCGCCGCAATGACCGCGTTCGTGTCGTTGTTCGAGTGCGTCGCCGCCGCAGCTTTCTCGGCTTCGAGCGCTGTGATGTAGCTCTTGAGCCGGGTGAGCTCCTCGAGGTGGGCGGCCTCGTCGACTTCGAGCGTCGTAATGCGTGCCGTGGCCTGCTCGAGCTGCTGCTGCACGGCGTGGATCTGGCTCTGCCACGTTTGAATGTGCTCTTCCAAGCCGCGGCGCGTTGCGACTTCGGACGCGAGTTGCGCTTCGAGGTTGCGACAGTTGAGCGTACTCGTCTGGAGCTGGACGTCGGCCGACTGCTGGAACGTGCGCCAGAAGAGCTCGCGTTGCTGGTGCTCTTGCTGCAGCTGCGAGAGCTGTCGAAGGAGCGGTTGTGTCGCGCCCGTCGTCTCCTCGGCGAGCGAGTCCATGCGCAGCACCGTATCCTGGTACCGCTTCTTCCACGACGCAATTTCAGTGCGCCAGAGCTCTTCCCGGCGCGCAGCGTCGCGCTCGACGGCGGCCACGCGCTTTTGCATCTCAACCAGCGTCGACTCGAGCATGCCGTTGTCGGCGACCGCGCTCTGGGAGGCTTCCAGCGCCACCTTGTCGGCGGCCCACTGCGCCTGCTGCGCTTCCAGCTCTTGGACGCGAACGTTGGCGGTCTCCAGCGCTGCTAACGTCGCCCGGAGCTCGTCCGATTGGGCTTGGAGTTGCTGGAGTTTGGCGTGCGTCACCTTGCGCTCGTCCTCGGCCTGCACGAGGTGGCTTCGCGCCGTCTCCCACTTGGCCTGGGTCGTCTCGAGCGCGGCGACGGTCTGCGCATGCTCATCGAGGAGGTCGTTGTTGTCTTTGCGCAGCGTCCGCAACCGGGCTTCGTACTGTCCTTGCTTGACCGAGAGCGCTTGGCCTTCGTCCAACAGCTGCGACAACTGCTCCTCTTTTTCGTGCAAAGCGTCCTGCAGCTGCGCGACGACAGCGTCCGAGGAGGCTGCCGACTTGGCGGCATCGAGCTCGTCCATCAATTTCGTCATCTTGGCTGACGCGGACAAGAGTTGATTCTCGCGCTCCGTCAAGAGGGCCTGCGTCTTGGAGAGCTCGGCTTGGAGGGCTTCCATCGCAGCCGAGTCCTCGGTGGACGAGGGTGTTAGCGACGACGTCGAGGACGGGCGCTCATCCCCGTCGGTGAGCACCGTCGATACACTGGATCCAATGGAGAGCGAGCTACCATCCTCAGGTTTCTCCTCAGACGTGGTCGGAGGTAGCGTCACACTTGCCACTTGGATGGGCGTCGAGTGGGCCTTGATGTAGTCGAGGGCGGCAGCGTTGGTAGCATCCTCTGAAGTCATATCATCTCCGCGCTTTTCAGTCGTTGGTGGTGTCGGTGGCGGTGGCGAGGATATCTCTGGCCTTACAGGCGACATTTGAGCGACGGGTGCAGCCGGCTTGGTGGACGGAAAGGTGACGCTGGGCGACTTGACGGCCACGGATCGCTTCTCATGGTGCGACGACGGCCCGAGGTTCCACTCGGAGAAAAAGTTGAGTGGCTTCTTATTGCCGTCGGACGACCGGGGTGGCGTCGGGATGCTGGTCTTGGCAAAGTTGTTTGCGGTTGTTGCTTGGTGCTGGGCGGATGTCGGGTTGGACCGTGGCGGTGACGGCGCGGGCGCTGGATGCAGTGGCGGTGTCATGCCGGTGCTTCGCTGCGGCGAGGCCCGCGGCGCCGGCTTGCCATTAGCGACTGCGTCATCGAACTGCTTCTCGACGTCGTCCTTGAGCTTATGCACATGCTCGAGGCCTTGCGACACGATGGTCGAGAGGTTCACCTTGGACGCGAACCACGCCATGCTGCTGCGGACGAAATAATGGCAAGAAACATGCACCCGGCTCGTATCCGGCCACGTGGCCGACATCCGGATACCGCGCGCGACGTCCTCGATCTTTGGTTCGTTCGTCGAAGATCCAGCGCGTGACACGCCGGCTGGCGCCGCCGCCGCCGCAAGACGAGGACGCCACGACGCGACCTGCGGCTCTCAGCGACCTCTACGCACGAAGCTGCGTTCTCAGTCTCCATGCTATCGCGCCGGGTGGTTCGTTGCTTGCTGCAAGCAAAGCGCGGTGGGCGTAGAGACGCTGCAGTAGGTGCGTACGTTGGCAACGGACGGCATAGGTGCACGGTCCATGGTCCATGCCCAGAGTAGCGCAGCGCCAAGCACGAATGCTCGAAGGACGAGGGTCTTCTATGGACCCGTGCGCTAACGGTATATGAGCGCCGGCTCGCTTCGAATATGTCGGCCAGACCGACACTGCATGCTAGCTGGTATTGCAGCGGCTTGAAGTAGTCATGTACATCACGTTATCAGAGCTTGTGGTATGTTACACGCAGGCCGCACGCACAGGCCTTGACCCAGAGACCATCGCCTTGGTCTTCGTGTGTGTCGTACGCATGCTCGTGCTCGGCGACTTCGACGGGCTTGGCCTTCTTGGCTTTGGGCGCCTGGACGAGGTACCTCAGTGACGAAATATAGAGCGGTGTGAATCCATACCGAAGCGCCACTCAGGGTTGAGAGGCTTGCTTTTTGCTTGCCGTAGCTGGCGACGACCGACTTGGTGCGCGATACCGCCTTCTCGAACCGCTTCCTCTCGCGCTGCTCCTTCTCTACCAGCATTTTCTCGAGGCTACCAAACAATTCGATGCACGCGGTCTCGCACGTCTTGGTCAAATAGAGCTTGAGCGGTGCGAAGCGCTCGTTCTTGGGGTTGGGCCGTCGAAGGCATGGGAGGTCTTCAAAGGCGCTGTCGGGCAGCAGAAAGCGCTTCTTCGCTGAGTCCTTGGTCAATAGCACGTACGCTGGGCCCTCGTAGCGACACGAGCGACAGACGTAGAGGCCAAAGGTCGTGAAGAAGTCTTGGTCGCACGGCAGGTCCAAGTGGCAGCTCTCGCAGGCCGCCGGCGTGGCTGGTAAATCCATGGCCGCGATGGGATTGGACCAAAAGTAGCCAATCGTTTTGTTTCACACACCACGCTGCGTGAGATTTGGCGCCAACACGCACGTCCGGATACGGAGCAAATAATAAAAATAAAATAAAGCGATCTCGGAGAAATATCCTTCCGCCCCGGATCATGGGGACGATCTGGAAGCTCGACGACGGGACATGCGACCTCGTCTGGGCGACGCAGCGGATCCCCGATGTCCATGCAGCTCTGCATGAAGGTAGACGCATAGGACTTCCTCAAGGAAGATGCAGCATGATCTCTAGTTATCGTCAACGCCATCGACGCCCATGCGACCTCCGTCGTCGTCGGCCTCGGCGACGAAGGTCTCTCGTTCACGGTACAGGACAATGGTACTCCTCCATCCACCTTCATCAGCAGCAAGGGTGATCCTCGCATTAGGTCATGGCATCCAGTCGCAAGACCTGTGTCGTCTCGTTGGCCACGCCGCAGGTACTTGTCCATCAACCCTTGAGCATCGTTCTCATCCACTTTGCCAGCTACCTCCAAGAGAGATCGAGATATTGCTGCGCCAGGGATCTCCACGTATGGAGCTCGTGGAGATGCGCTGCTCTGCCTTGCGACCATGGCGTCCGTGACGATCGAGAGCCGCCACGAAGCCAGCTGGAATACGTACCGTAAAACCATCGAGGTCCGTGCTGGTTGCGCGGAGGCGACTTCACGAGCATGATGCAGCGGGGACATGTGACGTTCAACGGTCGTATTCGCTCCAAGCAGTGCATTCCCGGGACGCTCGTGCGAGTCCATGACCTCTATGGGAACGTGCCTGTCCGACAGACTGCTTGGCGCGCCGCCGCATCGTCCCATCGGGCCAAACTCATCTCGTTCCTCACGACGCTTCTCTCGCGGCTGGCGATCGTTCACACGATGACATCTTTTGAGCTCATCGACCTTCGTACGCACGTCTTGCATCGTCGTTGGCTCAAAACTTTAGCAGAATGCCATGCCCGCGTCGTCGCGCTGCCTCGTGTGACGTGCCCTTTGGAGGCCTTTGCCCTCCTTGGTGGCAGTGTGCCCATTACAATACCGCAGGTAGAGATGCCCACTGTACTAGTATCGTAGTATGACGTGTCGTACTAGGCCTTTTCCTGCCACGAGGAGCGGTTCGGAATGTCGGGCCATATCGCGTTTGGCGACTTTAGCGTGGCGTCCGCGACGATGGGTGCTCGATTAGCACAGCTCAAGCGCGTCACGCAAGGTTACGTGTGCGTGAGCTTCCGAGGGCGGTGGATCCAAGCGTTTGAGAGAGAGTGCCAAGATTGCATTTACGCCCACCTCGCTTCAAGAGTCGTGTCGTCATCGCCATCCCACGAATGGCCCGTCATTGTCCTCGATGTGACTTGTTCGAGCGATGAGGTCGCTCTTGTCGACGCTACCCCGGCGCCGCGAGTCGAGTTTCGCAGCGTCAATGCCTTTTCAAGCGCCTTTGCCGCCTTTTTGCAGGTATCGGTACCCAAGTCGGTCAAATTTGTGATGATGCTCACGAGCTGCAGGCGGTGCTGCCGCATCGCGCCGAGACGGTCCTTGTGGGTGCACCAATGCCCGTGGCCAAGCGACGTCGAGGCCTGCCAGATGAGTTTACCGATGCGATTTGGGCGCGAAGCGTGGACCTTCTTCCTTGTACTTGCAGCTTCGCGTGCTTCGAACCAACACACGTTTCCTTGTAGCCACGCGCACCAAGCGCGCTGCAGCGATGTCACCAATGCGTCATCATCCACCCGCAGTACGCCGGCGTCGATGCACCAAGTACTTTGGCACCGCGACGGCAACCAGCCGTGACGAACCGAGGCGTCGACGGCGGCGCCTTCCTGCACACGTGGCAACACACCTGAGCGTCTTTGTGCAGAACCCGCGCGCATCTCGTACGCTCTCGGTGCAGTTTACCAAGGCCTCGCTACGCGACATCACGGTGCTTGGTCAAGTTGACCGCAAGTTTATTCTCTTTGCGACGCGGACGTCGCCGGTGCTGCTGTGTGCGATTGACCAGCACGCCGCCGACGAGCGCATCCAGCTCGAAGCGTTGGAAGCGACGTATCTCGATGAGATGCGGCCCTTTCCTCGCACCGAACTCGACGAGCTGGTGCAGCTCCAATTGAATTTCACCGAGCAAGTCCTCGTCCAGCACCACGCGGCTACGCTGCAGCACTGGGGCTTCACGATCAACGCACGCCAGGAGCTCACGACGGTGCCTTTCGTGGTGCACCGTCAAGCCAACGAAGACGACTGCACCGAGTACCTTGTGCTCCTCGCGGACGCCGATCGGCAGCGGACACTGGCGCCCCGCCCGCCGGTGATTCTGCGCCTTTTGCACTCGCGGGCGTGCCGCAGTGCCATCATGTTTGGCGACGCGCTCTCGCAGCGGGCGTGCGAGCTGCTGCTGGAACAGCTGAGCCAATGTCGGCTGCCGTTCCAGTGCGCCCACGGCCGGCCGTCGCTGGCCCCGCTCGTGCAGCTGCAAGACGGAGACGCGTCGTAGGTATAAATTCAGCATTCAAAACTCATAGCATCGTGTGGATCTCTATTGGTTCTTGCACTCCGGGGGCTTCTCGGTCGACTCGGCGCCCGCGGGCTTCTCGAGGCCCGGGAAGGCCTTCTTGCCGCCCTTCTTGGCACGCGGCTCATCGTCGTCGTCGTCGTCCGAGAGGTCTTCGTCGTCATAGTCCTCGTCCTAGATGTCGCAGAAATAAGGATAATGCGACCGAGGAAGCAGCGACGTACGTCCTCGTCGTCTTCGTAGTCGGAATCGTCGACTTCAGCTTCGCCCGTGAACCACAAGACGGCCTGGGGCACGATGGTTTCGTGGATCGTGAAGCCGATCTGGAAGTCCGTGTCAAGTTGGTGCATGATCTCGTCGCTCTACCACAGAGGATGCGTTAGTTCAAGCTGCCAGCACTGCAGAAGATGATGTACCTCTTCCTCTTCGTCTTCCGTGGGCATCTCGACAGGCGAGAAGAACTGAAAGAAGCTGTCGCAGGGCTCAATCTTGGTGACGAGGCGCGTCGCGCCGCCGTTCTTGGCCTTCTGCTTGATCTTCTTCTTCTTCTCGCACAAGTTCTTGCCTTCGTTCCAGTTGATAGGCGTGCCAACAATGTTCTTGAGCATCGCATCGCCCGACGGGCCCTCGGCCACGTCGTAGACCTTGGTCAAGACGTCGTTCGTGAAGAACTCGTTGGGCGCAAAATGGAACTCGAGGCGGAAGCCGTTCGTCTCGGTGAGCGACTCGGACTTAACGTTCTTGAGGAATTCGAGCGCCGGGATATCGCGGTCCGTGATCATCTGCTCGATCATCGGGTGGTTCATGAGCGCCTTGACCCAGAACTTGGGGATGCCCACGGACGGCTCGGCCTCCTCGGCCTTCTCGTCCGCCGACGCCACCTCCTTCTCGCCCGTCACGACGAGCGCACGCTCATCGTAGAGCGGCTGGTACAGCTTCTCGTACTTCAATTCGAGCTGGCGGCGCTCTTCCTCAAACTGCGCCTCGATGACCGCCTGCTGCTCCTGGAGCGTCTTGAGGTGGGCCACGCGCGCGGCGACGGCGGGCGGCAGCACCACCTCCGCTTCCACGTCCTCGATCACGAGCTCGCCCGTCTTCTTCGTCACTTCCTCGACCGTGCTCATGCTGCTGGTTCCGATTTCTCAACTGACGAAAGATATTCAAGAAACCATCCAGCTTCGACGCCAATGAAATGATCCGGATGCGACCGCCCCATCCGGATCGCCAAGATCCCGTCGGAAAAGCCTCCAAGATCGAGGAGCGACGTGGATGACATGGACGACGCGAGCGACGGAGGATCGATGCTATATATGTATACGGGCGCATGGTCGACTAAAACATGGGTACCCTAACCGGCTACGGCCCTCGGCTCGTGCTAAAGAGCTGGTTGGCGGCGCCCTCGACGCTGCCCCGCGACGCCAGAAGGGCCGCGACCGCCTGCTCGTGGTCAAAGCCCATCTCGATGAGCTGCTTGACGCGCGTCGACTTTTGGAACCGAATACGAAGCGGCCGCGTCTGGCCTTGAATCATCTTGAGCGCGCGGTCGACCGAGTAGTGCCCGAGCGGGTGGCCGTTGGCCATGACGAGCCGGTCAAAGAGTCCGATTTGGCCCGAGGCTTCGGCGCCCATGGCCTCACCGTTGGGCAGGCGCGGGAAGGCCGTGACGCACAAGTCATTCTCAATCTTCTCCAAGTAGAGGCCGAGGACGACCGCGTCGACGGGGAACTGGACGTCGTACTCGTCGCTCTCGCACGCCTTGTTCATAATGTTGGTGCGTGGCGGCATGGCAATGGCGGCGTTCACAGCCTTGATGCTCTGAAAGAGCGCGTTGCCTTCGTCGACCGCGCCAAAGCCGCCCGTCGACGGAAGCTGCAGCAGCGAGGTTGACGGCGATGCTGTCGGCGGCGTCGCACCGAGTACTTCTCGCAGGAGGGATTTGCCCGTGTCCGAGAGCTTGCGCTCGCGCGTCGGCGCGGCTTCTTCGGTGATTGTCGTCGGCTTCACGGCGCCCTCGACCGCACCGTTGGCCCCGACCGTAAAGTTGCGAAAGAGTGCAATCGACGAGTCCTATGTCATGTGGAGACGACGCGACGCTGCGAGAGGCGCGTACCTTGCGGTTGTCGGGCACTTCATAGAAGAGCAGCACCGGCTGGTACCGGCCCTTGACGCAGCTAGTACAAAGTACATCACGACGAGACCTCGACCATGAGCTGCGTACTGCCGGATGACGTCAGGCCAATCGCCAATCTCGGTGACCTTGCTGTCGTCAAAGAGGAGCCACGACTGGTGCGCCGTGCTGTAGAAGAAGGCAAAGTAGTGCCGGCCGTAGTAGCAGACAAAACCGCGGAACCGATACTGGGCCTTGAGGCCACCGAGGAACTTGGCGTGCTTGGCGGCTTCGCCCTGCGCCGTGAACGCGTGCGAGAGATCCACCGAGTCGCTAATGATGTGCAGGAGCGACTCGATCTCTTCCTTCGGCGGGCTGTTGGTGGCCCACAGAAACGAGATGGCAAACACCGGGGGGAACCGCTGGATGACACGCTACGACGAAATAAGCTCCAGACTTATTGCTGTCTCTCACCTCGGTGGCGAGCTTGCCCTTGCAGCCTTCGACTTGGCAGGACCCGTGCACGTCCATGTTGTTGGGCATCTCGCGCAGCATGTCTTCCATGTCGCGGTACGGCCGCGCGATCGCGTCCGTCGCATAGATCGAGAACACCTCCACCAGATCTGAGACGAGAACCAGAATGCGTCGAAAGGATACCAGATTGCTGTACAGCTCCCAGTTGGACGACGCGTGGCACGCGCGGCACACGGACCGGTCGTAGATCTGGTGCGAAAACACAATGTGCGGAATGCTCTTGGGGTCAAAGACCGCCATGGGCTTCTCCTCAAAGCCCGACTGGCTCGCGCTCAGAAGGAAGCTACGCGACTTGAGCGCCTTCTTATCAAAGTCCGTGAGCTCCGTCACGTCCTATCCATGTATTCATCTTTCCGTCTCCTCGTTCGCTGCTTGTACCGATTGCTGGTGCATGAGGTTGAGGATCGTGAGCAGCGTCTCTTCCGCGTCGGCCATCGAGCCTTCTTGAAACATCTTGTCCTATTGTGTCGACACTCAGCTCTTATCGTCCAGAGGGACCAACTCACCGCGCTGTAGAGGAGGCTGAGCCACTTGCGCAGCACTTTCGGGTGCAGCGCACCACTCGACGGGTCTTCGTACGCGAGCATGATCTCCTTGAGCGCGCGAAGGACGTGGGACGCGACGTCGTCCGAGTCTTTGATGATGACGTCTTGGAGCAGCCGGCGAAGCGAAATGAGGTGCCAGAAGCTCTGGATGATGACGTTCAAGAAGCAATTGTTCTCGCCTACGCAAACCTCAGCGCGCGCGCTCCATGGAGACGCTACCTGTGGCGTTCTGGAGACCGCGGTGGATCGACGCGCCTTTGGTCCAAATCTCCGACGATGCTTTTGGCCCTGCGTTCACAGCAGCGGTCTTGGGCGGCGAGGACCCGGAGCGCATGGGCGCAGGGCGAGGCGCGATCGACTTTGGTACGGTCGTGAGGTGCTCGACCCATTGGAAGAAGAGGTCTTCCGTCTTGACGTCGATCTCGAGCACGCAGGGCCGGTTCTCCTTGTCGAGTGCATGGAGGTAAAAGCCCCGGTTGCGCTTCTCCCATGGCACAAACCTACGCGCTGCTTTGAGACCATGTGGGCCATTAAGGACGGCAATATACTTCAAGTCCGAGTACGACTTGGCCGACGGGTTGGCCAGCGTCGCCGCCAACTCGTCCGACGATGGCTGGAACTTGAACGTGAAGAGAATGAGCGATGCTATGTTGCTCGGATGGACGGCGAGGACGCTGTAGCGTTGGTGCCGGGGCCGCTGCGCGCACGCCATGAGGCCATTGCAAAGACGACGACCTAACCGAGGCTTACCACGTTGACGTAGCTCTGCGTCTTGATGATGAGCCAGCCTTGGTAGACCTCGATCGGCGACGTCTACAAGGTAGGTCCATCAGCGGGCGTCGACCTCGGCAGGATCCGCGGACCATGATGATGAAGGGTTGTGGCCGGCGCCTCGAGCTTTGATCGCCCCTCGCCGTGCACGCAGGACTGATGATGACACACGCTCCAGATGTTATAACACACGTTGCGAAAGGCGCACCGACGCGTCCCCCCACCTCCTTCGTAATGTGCTCTGTGCCTTCCTTGACGCCGCCGTGTCGTCGCCACCGGCACTCTATCGTACACGCGCCGCTCCATCCACTCGATCCTCCATCCTGCCGGCGGTCAAGGACGCAAGAAAGGGCTGCATGTGGCAGGAGCGGGTGCGAGATTGCGGTGTTATAACACGGTGTAACGTGGTAGCACTTGAAGTTGGCAAGATATTTGTCACCTCTGCCGCGTTCGGTGCAAGACGCGCCGTCCCTGAGGCCATCGAAGGAAGACTGACTGAACTACGATATTGGTACACGGCTAACAAGACTCCTAATATCTCAACTCCGCTGGTCGTCGTCGTCGTCGTCACCGAGCAACGTCTCGATCAACGCGGCCGAGTGGTCCACCGAGTGGAGCGACTTGACGAGATAGTGCAGCTGCCGCAGCACCGTGAGCACTTGGCGCTTGACGTCGACCGTCACGTCGTCCCGGACCATGTTGAGCAGTCGCCGCTACACACAAAACGTCAGCTACGTGGCGTGTACGATGAGGACGAGGACCTCGACACGTGGGTAGATGGCGAGGCGCGACACGTGCACATTGTCGGGTGCAAGCTCCAAGGAGAGTCGTCGGCGCTTCGTGCTGGGCTCCTCGACGCCGTCGCAAATCAGGTCGGGGCAGTAGTACTGGCACAGCGCTTGGAGCTCGTCTGCGTCAAAGTGCAGAGCCGCGATCTTGGCGAGCACTTTGCGCGACTCGGTGAGGATGTACGCGGTGTGCGCCGCCTCTTGCTCTTGCTGCTGCTGTTGCTGCTGTTGCTGCGCGAGCTGTGTCGGGCCTTCGTCCGGCGACGCCTCCTGCGCGCGGATGCAGTCGAGGACGGCCTCGTTGAGGGCGCAGACCGCATGCGACGCGGCGAGTTCGAGCGGCTCGGGCAACGTGACCGGGTACGTCTCAATGTCGGCCGCGTACCCGAGGTTGATGCCTGTGAGCTTGAGCAGTGGCAGCGCCGGGTTCATGTGCATGGCGGTGATGATGCACTTGGCCGCGTACTGAAGCGCGTCGGCTTTCGAGAGCGCGGTAATGTTGGGCGGCGGCCGGACCATGTACTTGGTGGAACTCCAGTCGTGCCCTTCGACGAGGAGGCCCATGAGCGACGTCGACTTGCGCAGACCGAGGCTCACGTCGCGGAGCCCGAGCAGCGACAAATTGCAGTAGCTGAGGTCCACGACCCGCAGCGTCGACGAGTTGGCGATGCAGACGCCGAGCGCGCTTGCGCCCACGTCGCCGACCGGGTTGTTGTCCATGTAGAGGTTCTCGAGCGTATTGGTCGAGATGTGCAGCGCCTCGGCGAGCGCGAGCGCGCCGGCCGAGTCGATTTCGTTGAGTCCAATCTCGAGCGTTGTGAGGGACACGCGAGACGTCATGAAGGCAGCGACGAGGTACTTGAGCCCGGACGCGCGCACATGGTTTTGCCCGAGCATGAGTTCGCGCAGCTGCCGGTTGTGGGGCAGCGCGTCCGCGATGTGCATCATGCCTTTGACGCCAAGGTTGTTGGTGCCCAAGTAGAGTGACTTGAGCGAGTGGTTGGTCTTGAGCGCAGTTGCAATGTGCAGCGCACCCTCGTCCGTGATGCCGTTGCCGCTCAGATACAGCGCCTGCAACGTCGTGTTGACTTGAAGCGCGCGCGAGACGTCGGCGGCGCCTTCGACGCCAATGCAGTTGCCGCTGAGGTACAGCGTTGTGAGTGTTTGGTTCGTCTCGAGGGCCTTGGCGACCGCGGCGAGGCCCTTGTCCGTGATGCCGTTGAACCCAATGTCGAGGACGAGTAACGAGTGGTTCGAGGCGAGCGCCTTCCCGATGAGCAAGGCGCCTCGGTCACCCAGGTCAAAGCCGCAGAGCTTGAGTGACTGGAGGATGTTGATGTCGGTGCGGACACGCCGCAAGAGATCGTTTGAGAGCGACGTGGCGAGGTAGCCCTTGACACGCGCTTCCAAGATCGAGCGCGCCATGAGCTTCTTCTCGCGGCTGTCTTCGCGGTCGTCGTCTTCTCCTGGGCACGAGAACGTCATTCGATCCGACGAATACTTGTAGCGCGAGCTCAGTTCGCCCATGTAGCCCTTCCCAGGCAGCGACGAGGACGAATTCCGGCGCAGCTTGCAGAAGCCTTCCTCAAGGGAGGAGAAGGACGGCGACACCGTGCGGGAGGAGGCAGCTCTTGCTCTCCGCGGGTATCCGTCGACGATCGGGCAAGGACGGCCGGTGCAAGCGCCGATATCTTGAGCCCAATTGGAAGGTCGGTCGCGGGCACCACTTTTATTCCTATCCGGATACGCTGCCACCCACGCCAGCACACGCTTCGCGCCCGGCGCACGGTATCCGGAGGACCCCCCGGACCAATCGCAGCGCGCGTGGGACGTCGGGGTCACGCGACGGCCGCCATGGCGCTTCTCATTGGTCGAAATCAGCGGCGCGGCGGTCACGGGACACGGCGTTTACGCTAGCACGTTGCACAATCAGCCCATCGTGTCTATCGCGAAATCTCCAATGTCAAAGAAAGCGCGCTCCGTCGTACTTGATCTTTGTCCCTTCCGAGCTCAAGTAACCTCCTCCTCTTCTTCTACGCTGGAGCAGTGACGGCTGCGCCGGGTGCCAGCGCGGCTGTTGACGGTGTAACCCTCGATCGACTTGCCACGTTGGCCCGCAACGGCGCCGCACTAAGCTTCCGTTTGACGCACGCCGAGAGTTCAAGCCGAGTGCCTGTCTTTGCCTTTCTAAGATCACGGTGTGCACCGCGACGGGCGTGTGCCCTCGCCTCGATGCTTCGCTTTTTGACGCGCTGAAGGACAACGTGGTGGGTGCGGTGGATATCCCTGGACATCGACTTCAACGTTGCTGCTCCCTGCCATGAGGCATTACGTGGACAGGGTATAATGTGCATACAAATAGCATGTCAAATGTCGGTTTGGGATGCAGAGACTGGGCTTTTGTATCAGGCCCGAGATGCGTGCATGGCTCTTGGCCCGAAGGCCCGACGGGATTTTTAAAAATGTTGCACTGATCTCTCTAAAAATGTATGTCGTTGAACCCATCTTTTGAAAAATCAATATTTGAATGGGCCGGGCCTTGTCGCACTGTCCAACACAGAGTGAATATTGAATGTGTCCGGCGAGCAGATAGGGATTCAAAAATTCAGCTGCTCGTAAAAAACGACCAGCCTGACTCGCACCCGCGAAAGCCATTTCCGAATTCCCGGCCTCCCAAGTAAACCTAACGATGGACTGCGAAGACCTCTGCGCGTGCATGATGTGCGGCGCCCTCTGCGGTGCCTGCTGCGCCGCCGCCGACGACGATGACCGCCGCCGCCAGGGCCCCGTCGTCGTCCAGACCGTCCAGCCCGTCATGGTCGGTGGCCAGTACCCGCAGCAGCAAATGTATGACCAGTACGGCAACCCCGTGTACATGCAGCAAGGCCAGCCCATGTATGCCCAGCAAGGCCAGCCCATGTACGCTCAGCCCGGCCAGCAAATGTACGCCCAGCCCGGCCAGCAAATGTACGCCCAGCCCGGCCAGCCTATGTATGGTCAGCCGCAGCCGCAGTATGGCGTGCCGATGGCGCAGCCTGCCCCGGGCTACCCTGGTGCCAACAAGGTCTAACCAACCTTGTCATCTTTAACTCATATATATATCATGACCTATTCGATCTTGCCACGGTCTCTGCTTCATACGCTTCGTTCCTGCGGTCGCCTCGCCTCATCAATGCGCCGCATCCTCCCATGCACCCAGGGGTTACCCATAGGTCGTCGAGTCGAGATCAGGTCAGGAAGCGCAGGTTCCTGGTCGCGGGAGGCGGCTGCGGCTGAGAGAGGATCGTCAGTCACGTCAAGATCCAGCGCGCCAAAATAAGTTGGACGTGCAGTAGCGCAACGTCGTTGGAGTATCCAGTTGCTCCGGTGAAATCATTCGGCTACTCGAACCGGTTACAATTGGGGACGAGCCAACGCCGTCAAACCGGTTCCAACACGAACCGGCAAACACAAACATGCAATTCCATCAGCGGGCCGACCTCAGCGGCGCGTCCGAGGCCGTGAGCTTGAGCGCGACGCGGCAGCGTGTGAGCGCAGTGCCGGTCGAGCTCACGCTCCCAAACCAACAAGTTCTACTGGTACACGGAGCCTGAGCCCGTCATGCGCTGCACTCATGCTATGTGCCAGGGCTTCCCGAACCGACCACCTCCGCTCGACGCTGCCGACGATGGGGCCTTCAACAAGGTAGCGCATGCTATCGCCCTTGTCACGCACGGTATGGATGCGTATATAGGCGGTGTTTATGACCAACGCTATGCGCAAGCATCCCGATGTGCGCGAAAACCAGGTACCGCCATCTCGCTGGCCGTCAAACAAGCTGTACTCTAGATCCTCTTTGGCATCTTTGCAGTCGTCAACGTTCTCTTTACGAGCGCGTTCTTCCTACCAGCAGACGCCTACGGTATCCAACGACGAGCCATCTTGATGGTGCTTGACACTGCACCCAGGTCACGCATGGTACGACGTTGGCCCGTTGCCGCCGCAGGTCCCGACTACGTGGCCCGGTCGTCTCGCTGTGCTTGCATCGACAGGCGTCTCGCTCGTCTGCGGCGCCTATGGCGTTTACAAAAAGCGCCGATCCATCCTTCTGCTCTTCCTCCTCTGTATGTCCTTGTCTCCTCGGCGACTTGACTCATTTGGGTCGTAGACACTGCCGCACAGGATGCGCTGCTCTTGATGTACCCGCCCGTGTTTCTCTTGGTCCTTCGCATTCCCGTCGATGTCGTCTTGTGCGGCCTCGCGTACAGCATGCATGCAGCACTGGTACTACATACCCCCTCCATGGTATCGCTCATGCTTCCTTTCTAGTCGGCGCGGTGGTTTGTGACGAGCAATAAAAAGTAGCTTGCTTCTTCGTCATTACGGGAGGGTCGCAATGCGCTTACCCAAAGATGTAGTTCATGACCATGTAAAAGCCCACTGCGTAAACAAAGCCAGGGATCGGGAGGCCGCCCCAGGGCTGGACAACTGGCGCGGGCTGGATGAGCTCCTGCTCTTGAGGCGTCGGGGCGTTCGAGGCCGCGTCGGCGGGATCGCGCTTGTCGGTCTTGGCACGGCGCACGTGGCCGACACCTTGGAGTTCACCTTGCAGCTGGCGCATGCCCATCATGATCATCTACGCAAGGTCAATGTGCAAACGATTGCACGCTGCCGTTCGTACCTTGTTGCTCTTGAGAAGCTCCATGCTCAGATCGTAGTTTTCTTGGAGGATGTTGCGCACGAAGAAAGCGCCCATGGACCGGCACCCGTTCATGAACGGCGGGTAGAGCAAGTGCATAAACTGCACGAGCTCGTACACGGTGATTTGGGGAAAGAAGCGCGGGGACAAGCCACCCTATATCGACACTTGTCGTCACTTCGGATGCATCGCGAGAGTACCTTGGCGAGCGTAATATTGATCTCGGCGACAAACATGAGCAGGCAGCCCGAGTAGCTCCACGCGCGCACGTCCGAGACGTCGCCGAGCGTCATGACGTACGTCAAGATGCCCCACACAATGTAGTACGAGAGGAGGCTCGTGATACGGCTGACGTCCGTGAGCGGCTCTTTTGAGAGAGCAGTCGCTTCGCCGTAAAAATCGTACACGTCGCGCTTCTCCGAGTCGCTCAAGACGTCGTACGCGATGCGGAGGCGGTTGAAGTCGTCGGCGGCCGTCGGCGACGGGTTCTTGTCCGGGTGCAGCTCCACAGAGCGCGTCCGGTACGCTTTCTTGATATCGTTGAACGAGCAATCGCGCGAGACGTCGAGCATCGCGTAAAAGTTGGGTGGGTTGTTAGCGATCTCGAGCCCGATCGAGATGCTCGCGAGCGCGACGAGGAATCCGATCGAGTAGAAGATTGCCATCGTGCGGGAGAAGCGCCCGGGCGCCCGAATCCAGTTGAGGCCGGGGTTGACCACGGTCGAATAGACCACCATCGTCGTCACGAACTGCGAGTGCCCCATAGCTGCTGCGTCCTGCGTCCGTTGCGTGCTCGTCGCCGCAAGAAATACACAGCCGTCGGTCTGTCGTGACACGAGGCCATTGGTCAAAACCGTGCAGCGGTATCCGATGCCATTGGTTTAAATACTGGAAAAATAGAAAATACCTCTGTGTTTATAGCCAATCCAGGCGTGTCACTGGCAACCTGCGATGGCATGACCGACTTCAACGAACGCTGGCACGTGGCAGCACCAGCGCCGAGTATGATACGCGAATCGCTTGCGGAGAAGCCGCACACGACCAACGAGGCCTTCCCTGCGCAACGTCCAAATAAGATCTAGGGACACTGGGTCCGTGGAGTTTCGTGGTCTAAAATTATTCCGCCATGCCGCAAGCCGAGGCGGCTGTCATGAGCGCCCGCATCAACCACCTGCGCAACCCTGGCGCGACGCTCTACAAGACAACCACCGTGCGTCATCTAGGTCGCGTCGAGGCCAAACCGAACGCGGCTCTCATTGCCGACAACGCCGTTGTGGAAGCGTTTGGCGCCGACAAGTGTCCCAAGCTGGTCCGTGCCCCCTCCGCGCGATGCCATCATGCTCTTTGTCGTTTAGGCTCAACTCCTCAAGGAAGAGAACGAAAATACGCTTTTGCATGCACTGCGCTGCATCGCGGGCGTGCTCAAGATGCCGACAGACGTGGTCAACAGCACCCACGACGAACACCACGTGCTCGAGCCGCTCGGCAACCTCGTGTACCACAACAACGCCGCGATCCGCCGCTTGGCGGCGACGGCCCTGCGCGTCTTTGCGTCCCACGCCGTCGGGCGCGCCGAGCTTGTCCGGTACCGAACGATGCGCAAGATTCTCAAGGTCTTTGGCCGCAACGACAACGAGCTCATGGAGCCGCTCTTTGATACAGCGCTGCATGTGAGCTCGACCATGTCGGGCGTCCGCGAGATGAGCCAACACGGGTACCTCCCGCTTTGCGCGCTCTGACGTATGCGATTCAAACTGTATTTGCATGTAGGTACCCGGCGGTCATTCTCGAGAAGCTCAAGCGTGATGCGTCCGACAGCATCCGCGTGCGCGCGCTCCAGCTCCTCAAGGCGTTTGTGAACGACGGGATTCCCAGCACTGTCCTGCACATCGTCGAGCTCGGCGGTGTCGACGCAGTCGCCAAGTTTATCCACTCAAAGAACAAAGACGTACGTGACGAGATGCATCAACTTGTGACGCGCGCCTGTCTGTAGGTGCGCACGGCGGCGCTTCAAACCACCGGCGCGATGCTCTACTTGGAGCAAGGACGTAATAGCGCGATGCTCAATGGCGTCGCCAAGAAGCTTTGCGGCGTGCTCCAAGACCGAGACTCGTCTGTGAGCATTGTCGCCGCGGGCGCGCTCATGGTCCTCGCAGTCCACGACGGCGCCAAGCGCGAGATCTACGAGCTCGGCGCCCACACGGGCTTTCTCGCGCTCTTACATCGCCCCGAGTACGGCGTCCAGCTCAATACGCTCAAGCTCGTGACGGTCCTCGCCGCGCACCCGCTCGCGCGCGACGCCATGCGCACCAAGCAAATGGAAAAGACAATGCGCGACATGACCGAAGATACGAACGAGCTGCTCGCACGCTCGGCCAAACTCGCGCTCCGGGCTGTGCTATGGACGCCGTAATACCAGCTCTCAACAACATTATACAGACTCCGTTGGCAGATGACGCACATTGTTGATAGCAGTGTCAATGGTGGATCGACAGCAAGCAACGTGTCGTATCATGGTGCACAGTACCCTAGTCCTCGTCGAGTCCGAGCCCTACCCCGATGCGGCGTCGCTGCCCGCCGCACGCCGTATTAGCGGTGCTGCGTCGCCAAGAAGGGACAGCAGCTCTGAGAGACCTCCTGCGAGTGATGGCCACGTGCAAGCTGCAAAGGGCATGATCGCGGTTCGAGTGTTTAAAACTCGGGAAGAAACGCGCCGGATCATTGGTGAAGCGGCGCGGATCATGTCGGAGGTTGAAGAGACGCTCGAGCGCATCAAGAACCACAAGGGTGTCGAAGGCTACGTGATTGCGGACAAGAACGGCGCGGTGCTGCGCCGCCACCCGCACATGGACACGGCGAGCGCCGAGCGCTACTCGAGCTTCATGAAGGAGCTCACGACGAAGGCGCGCGGCGTCGTGCGCGACCTCAACCCCAAGGTACGTACGACCACGACGACGCTCTTTCCGACATACGATGCATGTAGAACGACCTGCAGTACCTGCGCATTCGCCTCAAGAAGTTTGAGATCCTCGTCGCCCACGGTACGACAAACCTCGCGTCTGCCCGCTCATGCATGCACTCGTAGAGAAGGAGTTCCTCGTCATTGTGATTCAGAAATGGTCGCCCAATGCGACGTAGGACGACAAAGAAGCAATACAATCGTTGCGTGTACAGTCGTATCTACGAGAGGCCGTGGAGGCGGGCCTTGACGAGCGCATGGCGGGCGACGACGTAGTCCCAGTCGTCTTTTGTCACGGTGGCGTGACCGACGCTCACAGCATGCAGTCGCACAACGCGCACCAAGCGGTGCAAGTCGTCCGCCTACCCCGAGCATGAACCGTCATTGCATCGAAAGTGGTCATACCCCAACAGTCGCGTCGGCTCGGCGCTGGTCAATGTACCACTGCTCGGCCAGCGCCGCGCCTTCGTTGCCCAGGTCCGTGTTAAAGTGGCGGTAGACGGCGAGGTAGATGCGAAAGCACTGCAGCAGCGCGTCCGAGTAGGGTCCATCTCGCGTTGTCGTCGTCGTTGGCTGCAGCGGGACGTACAGCGTTGTCGGGAGGATCGACTAGCAGCAGCTGAGTGCATGGAACGACCGTCGGAGGCGCACCTTGGAGGTCGAGACACAAATGACTTTGGTATCTTGGTTGAACTCTTTCTTGTAGAACCGAAAGTCGTAGGGCAGCGCTTGGTGCTCGACGAGCGTCATGAGCGCAGCCATGTTGTGCGTCCCCTTGTCATCGAGCTACACGTCGGTAGATGCATAAAAGCCACATGCAGCAGTCAATGAACCTGTCCCGTGGTCAAGTTGGCCTCGTTGACGACGAGCGTGCTTCCGTCCGGCAGCTGCAGTAGCCCCGGGTGGAGGTACTCGATGTCGTAATCCTAGCATCCGACGACGTAAGCGCCAGGCAAACACACAAGCCATACCTTTTGAGGAAAGTAGAGCGCGTCGTGCAAGGCGGCGAGCGACAAGTCCAACGACAAGCACGATGGCACGAGCGCATGCAACGACTGCTCGAGCCCGGTAAAGTCCGTCGCGCTCATGGATGGCCAGATCACGTTGAGCGAGAGGTGCCCGAACGGCATCGAGACGTCCGAGCGGTTGTAGACGCGCGAGAGGAGCACGAGCAGGAGGTACTCGGCCACGACCATATCGCCGTGCGCCGCTGTCGTAGCGAGGTACCCCAAAAGCTGCGCCCGCATCTCCTCCACGGACGTTGGCTGACCCAGCCGCTGGGCCCACTCGGCAGCGGCCCACGCCGTCGGGTTGGCCATGTCCTCGCGGAAACCGACGTCCTGACCAAAGGATATCTCGCTGGCGTCTACCTCGCTCTATGAGCCCCTCTTTCTTCGCGCTAGTACGGTCGTACCTGTGGCGTGCAGCGTAGGAATGAACTCGATGGCACGCGCCTTCTCTTGCACCGTCGCGCTGTCGGCGTCTTTCCATTCGATGTCCATGTCATCGGGCGCCGCCTGCGGCGTCAAGTCGAGCTCGCCCACAAACTCGTACACGTGGTTCACTTTCCATAGCGTGCTGCCGTACGCGCGGACAATCACCTGGAACGGCGTCGGCGCCAGCGTCGTCGGCAGCGCCATGGGCTCGGACACGCGCACCGCCGGCGCTGGCATCGCAGCGTCCACACACTCCTCCTCCTCCTCGTTCTCCCGTCGCTTAGTCTTGCGGCTACCACGGCTGGCGGCAGCCGTTGGGTGCGCTACCTCGGCGGTTGCAGCGGACGTTGCAGTTGCAGATGCCCACGCCGTTTGCGCTGGGAGGGCTTCGCACCGGTACGGCGTTGTCTCGACGTACGTCTCGGCGCCATCCTTCAGTAGCAGCTGCGGCTGCCCAATGTCCCGCACGAGGCCAACGAAGCGCACGGTCGCGCCATGGGCGATGACGCCTTGGTCGAGCCGCGGCCGCGTCAAGAGAGCTGCCATGCTTCGATTTTTTAACCGGTCACCGGATAACCGCGGGCGTTGAGTGGTCAGAGGAAGCCTTCATTTCGAAATCCCCACAGCGCCACCCAAGTCGCAAGATGGCCCGTAGCACTTCCCCGTCCCCTCGCCGTGAGCGCAGCCTCTCGCCCGCCGGCCGCGGTGGCGACGACCGCCGGTCGCGCTCGCGCTCGCGCTCGGGCCACCGCAACGACGGCCCCAAGCGCATGCGCGGTACGGCCGCCCGCTGGAACGAGAAGGGCTTCGGCTTCATCAAGCCCGAGGACCCGTCGCAGAACGACGTGTTCTGCCACTTCACGTCGATCCAGGACGGCAACTGCCTCCACGAAGGCGACACCGTCGAGTTTGAAATCCGGTTCGACGAAGCCAAGGGCAAGGACCGCGCCGAGAACGTGACGGGCGGCCGCACCGAAGACCGCCGCGTCGGTGGCCGCTCGGGCGGTGAGTGCTACGACTACAAGCAGGGTCGCTGCCACCGTGGCGACTCGTGCAAGTTCTCGCACGACGGCGGTGACCGTGGTCGCAGCCGTGACCGCTATGACGACCGCCGCTACGACGACCGCCGCAGCCGTGACCGCTACGATGACCGCCGCGGCCGTGATGATCGCTACGACGACCGCCGCGGCCGTGACCGCTACTAAGCGGTCATGTGTTTTGCGTAGGTCTGGAAACACCCGAGCAGCTCCAAGCAAAGAAGACGCGACAAGAAGGACGTAGTGTGTGACTTGGCTTAAATCCGTTCGGGGTATATATTTTCCTTTATCCACCGCCCCCATACCCGGCCGTGCGCACTGCTGTGTCGACGTCCCGGGTTTCCTCCTCGTTCCGTTCTCTCGCCGCCTCTGCATCCTGCACCACAACGCGACGGCTACCTCTCGGTGCGGCGACTCTTCACCTCTCATCTCCACGGCGCTGGGCGTAATCGAACCAACATGAATCATCCTCTTCTGTATCATTCAATCGCTTCCTCTTGCTCATCTACTAGCAGTGCGACAAAGGCAGGAAGCGTCCATGTACCGGTAGCATGCAGCTAGGCCTCGGCGAGAATCTCGCCACGTCACCGCGCGGCTCGACCTCACAACCCGGCTTGTCAAACCTGTCAGACTTCATCCGAATCCTATGTATTTTAACAGTTCTTGACAGTCTATAATTAGTGTGATCTAGTTGTTCCCCGCTTCAATGGAAGCGCAGCCTCCAGATAGCGCTAATTGGACTGTCCATGTGCTCACCTCATGCAGCTTGGTCTGGCGAATTATATCTGTAGACGAGTCCTGTCGGCGCCTGCCATCAGTTTGGCCCGTCAAGGTTCAAGCTAAATAGTATGAATGTGAATTGGTGCATTATCATGCCTGAAATACTGTGAGGGACACATCGTCGACGGTGCAGCGAGCCATGACCGACGGACCACCGCGAGTCGCCGGCGTCGTCGTCGCTGGCGTTGTGCTTCGCGCGCTCATCTTCTACTACGAGATCGACTACGTACTTCAATACCGCCCGGAACTCACGACGCCATTGAATTCGCTGGAGCGGCTTCAAGAAGGCCTCTTCCTCGCTGGCGCCGGCTTGGACCCATACGCTGGCGACGTGTTCCACCAGCCGCCGCTCGTGTTGCTCGCCGCCATGGGCGTGCAATCGATGCCTCTTCACCTCTCGAGCCGGCTCGTGACGTGCCTCGGCGCGATTCTTCTCGACGTCCTCATTGCACTCGGCTTTGCCTCGGTCTGCCGCGCGTTCATTGCGACGCAGCACGCGCAGCAGTCGGAGAACAGCAAGGTGTGGCTCAACCACCCACCGCTCTCGCCGCTGCTGCAGCCCCGCTACCTCCCGCTGACGGTGGCTGCCGTGTACCTCTTCAACCCGTGGTCGCTCGCCACGTCCCTCGTGCGCTCGACCAGCCTCGTCACGTACGCAGCGATCGTGTGGAGCGTGGCGTTCGCCATGCAGCGTACGTCGTCGATCGGTTTGTGCTTGCGTCATGCGCTGCGTAGACCGCGTTCCGCTCGCGATCTGCCTGCTCGCGATCGCCACGTACATTGCCGTGTACCCCATCGTGCTCTTGCCGGCGCTGCTTCTCATGGCGTATCCAACCAAGCCCGTATTGTCGGCGGTGCGTTGTCCATCTCTTCTCCTGCTTGTGCTAAGACGCGTTTGCCTAGTCGTGGGGTCTTGCCACGAGCTTCTTTCTCCTGTACCTTGGGCTCTTTGTCTACCTCTCCAAGGTCGTCATGGGCGGCTGGGGTTTCCTCGATGTACGAGCGACTTGAGGCTCATGGGCCATGACGACCGTGTCTCGTAGGCGACGTATCTCTGGGTCGTCCGGTATCCTGATTTGACGCCCAACATTGGCATCTTTTGGTACTTCTTCATGGAGCTCTTTGACCGGTTCCGGAACTACTTCCTCTTCCTTCTGCACGTGCACCCGCTGCTGTACGTGCTGCCCGTCTACCTGCGCCTGCAGTACGTCATGCAACTCCATTTGCCTCGAGACTCATGCAAACGATGCGATAGATGCCGTCCGCTGGCCGCCACGGGCGTGCTGCTCGGGATCTTCGCCATCTTCGTAGCCTACCCCGCGCTGGGCGACTTTGGGCTCTTTGGCACGAGCCTGCTCTTACACCCGCGGTCGCTCATCGGTACGACCACTGCCTGCGACGGGGACGATGATGGACGATACGGCGAGTAGGCATGCGCCACACGTTTGTGCTGGCGACGGGCCTCGCGGTCGCGACCGTGCTCCTCCCCGTGATGCACTACCTCTGGCTCTTTCCGGGCTCTGGCAACTCGAACTTTTTCTACAACCAGACGCTCGTGTTCCAGCTCTTTGGCGTCAAGGTCGTTGCCGAGTTCCTCACGGCGACGCTGCGCCGCGACAAGCAGCTCGACGAGTTTTGGAAGACGGCCAAGACCATGGGCTAGTGAGGTTTGCATACAAAACATACACGGCGCGACGCGCCACTAAGAACCTACTCGTCTTGCTTTTGCTTCTTCTTGGGCGGCGGCAGCGACGTGAGCGCCGCGTCAAAGTCCAGCTCGACCTTCTTGTCCTTGAGCTGGTCCAAGTCCTGGTACGACGTGCTCACTTGGCGCGGGTCGACCGGCAAGTCCCGCGGCAGCGGCGGCGGGCCGTCGCGGGGCATGTACGGGCGCGGCGGGCCGCGTTGGTAATACGGCGGCGGCGGGTTGTAGCCGCCGTGAAAGCCACGGCCACCACGGTCGCGATAATACCCGCCACCACCTCGGTACTGGTCGCCAAACGGCGGCGGGCCGCGGTAGCCACCACCTACAAAGGATGCATTCTGCAAGGCTCAAGACGATCCCAACACATACCTTGGCGGTAGTCGTGGGGCGGCCGGCGCATGGCGTTCGGGCCGAGCGTCGGCTGGTTGACCGTGTCGTACGGCGGCAGCGGTCGGTCCGGGTCTTCGCGGTACGACTCCCACATGTAGCTCTCGCCGACCTTGGCAATCTTGTCAACGACAAGCTCCGGGTGTTTGTTGCGAATGTGCTTCTTCACAAAGTCGACCGTCTTGAAGAGCTTGGTGCAGAGGAGGCACCGGTGCTTCCCGTCGTCGCCCGCTTTCTCCGCATACGACGTGTACACGGGCTCGAGCGCGGCCTCCTCGCGGGCTTCGATGTCGTCGACGAGCGCAGCCTCGGCCGCCTTTTGGCTCGCGAGCTTCTCGGTCGCGTTGGCCGCGATCGCCGCCTCAATACGCTCGTCCAAGGCCGCCGACCAGCCGCCCCAGCCCGCGAGCACCTTGTTGTCGCGCGTCGCAAACGTCTTGTGCTCGACCGCCTACTCGGAGACACCATGATGAAACCTCGACCACCGCACGGGACACGGTACATGGTTGTCCTCGACGTCGCGCTCGGTCGCGTCCGGACGGCAAAAGAGCGCCGGGTGCGCGTGCAGGATGTCGCCCATGTCGATGCACTGGACGCCGGCGTAATAAATAAAGTGGTGCACGCGGCGCAAGTACGCAATCACAATATCGAGCTGGGCCGCTTCCGAGAGCGTCTCCTTGCTGTCCTTGACGTGGTGGAGGACGCTCGAGACGCCGTGGGCCGACGTCGCCCCGAAGACGCTTGCGTCCAACAAGGTCGCGAGGTGCAGCGCCTGCTGAAAGTCGTACGTGATGCGCGCTGGCAGCGACATGCACGTCGGCGTCTTGATCGGCGCGCGCGACCGATGCTGCGCGACTTGGAGCCGGATCGGCGCCGGCATCTCCGGGTCTTCGACGAGCACGTTCTGGAGCTTGGGCATCGCCTCGAGCGCCGCGGCCGCCGTCTCGTAGATGATGTACGCCGACCGGTCAAAGTCCAGGTCGCGCTTCTTGGCCGGGTCTGACAAGTGCAGCTCTTGGATCGGGCCGCCCTGTCGTGCGTCATATGAGCTCAAGTGGTGTCAAGGAGGAGACGGATACCGCGTTGACGACGGCTTCGGCCAACGCAGCGTACGGGCACGAGCATGGGATGCGGCGAATGTACAGAATCCGGTTGCCTTCTTCGACGTCGTTCTGGAACGACGCTTCGTTGGCCATGTTGGCTTCGTGGAAGGAGATTTGCATGGTCGCGACACGCTCAAAGAACGCCTTGGCGTCGGCGGCCTTCTTCGCATTCTTCTGCAGCGTGAGGCGGTGGCGGATCGCAGGCGAGTAGCGCTCCTGCAGCCACTCCTCCGACTTGTGCGCGTCAAAGAAGACACGCATGAGGCCTTGAATGTACTTCTTCTTGTATTCCTCGTAGCTGCCACGTGGTGAGTATACGTCGAGAAAGAGGGACCTACCGCTGCTGGTAGACTTCGGGCGACGACTCGTCGTTTTGCTGCATCATAAAAGCCTTGTACGACATGAGCGGCTCGGGGCCGCGCGGGCGGCGCATGCGATCGTCCGGACGCTCGTTCGACCGCCTTCTGCCGCGGAACGGGCTGCGGCTGCGCCGCCGGGGCGGGCTGCGATTGCGCGGCGAGTTGGAGCGTCGTCGATCCCGGCCGCGGCTACCGCTGCGACTCTTGCTCCGGCCCGCGCGCGGAGCAGGCGCTCCACTCGACGGCGCTGGCGCGTCCGCCGGCGGTGGCGGGTTGGCGTGCTGCGCCGGAGCGTCTTCGTTGTACGGCGCGTTGTCCTACGTTGCATCGCCACGTGCGTCCTGCTGCTGCCATGGCGCGCCACGTACCATGACGGTCGGTTCTTCAAGCTCGTATTCGGCGCTTGGCAACTTTAAATGCTGGGCGCACCACAAACCTCCTTTCTTCGATTCCCATTTGGTGATTATCCAGTGATTTTTAACCAATCAAACATAGCGGCCCTTGCTAGGCACCGACTAAACGACTAAGCCTACCGAGGGTTTCCCACATTTTTCACATTGCGTTTCACACATCGCACGTGGCACGCTCCCCGTCCTTGGCGCTCGCCAGCGCGCACCAAACACAAAGCACGACGTCTCGCACAGCGCAATAGCGCTACCACCTCAGCGGCTTGCAGGCATATCGAAACCCGATCAACAATAGAGGCAGCGCATGGAACAGCATCGACGCAACCGGTTGTTGGCCGCGTGACCAACTCGCCCTATACCGTCGGCTGCACCGTGCTTCTTGCATGCTCGGAGGCTCCTCATCGTTCAGTTAGTGGCTGTGTTTACGGACATGGAGCTACCCACGCGTGACTACTACCACTACACACCAGAGCGCTGGGTGTCTCGATGGAGGAGCGATCCATCGTATGGGGCCTGGTAGGTGGCGTCGAGACGCAGGCCTGTTGGGATCTGTCAGCCGTAGCTAGGTTCCCGCGCGTTCCAAGGCCGTTGTACGAAGATGGCGCCAAGTGGTTCCGTGCCAGCTGGATCCGCGTTCAAAATAGCATTTGCCGCCATGTTTTCCCTCCACTTTGAGCGTACTTAGCATTTCTCACCGCACTTTAGCGAGTCGCAGAGTGAAAAAAGGCGCGGGCTTTTGGCGGGAGGGCGGACTTAGTCGAGACGCATCCGGACTTGAGTGGACGCGACGCTGCCTGGCGGCGGCTACGACCCATTTTCCCTTTGAAGCCCATCATCGGTACTTGGCAGTAGCATGGCGACGACGGACTGGCGACTAACTCCGCAGAACGTGGTCACGACCGATGGCGCCTGCGACGGCGTCAAGTGGCCCGCGCTCGTCTTCGCTTCGTACCAGGCCGCCAACGAGTGGCTCATCGACATCGAGCACCTCCGGCGGCTCAAGCCAGCGACCGACGTCGAAGACCGCGTCGTCTTCTACTTTGGACGGACGAGCCTGGCGCCCAACGACACTACACAGGTCGCGCTTTTACCGGCCAAGACGCTTGACGCGTCGCCGTGGTCGGCCGACGACAACTTGAGCGACGACCCCATGTACACACACGCTATGGCCGTCGCAAGACAGTTTGCGGCCGCGCCCACGAAGCTCAAGGCGTGCGAGATTGTCTTCAACTCGTCGTTGGACAATGGCGTTGTGCCAGAGAGCCACGGCCTCGTGTCGCCCGGCGTCCACATCGCCGACGACGAGCGCGAGTGGAGCCAGCTCTTCGAGTCGATTTGGGACATCCTCGAGGCCGACGGGTGGAGCCTCATCACGATTTCGGGCGACCTCATCTACGCCATGCCCGGCGTCGCGTTCAACAACTTTATGCCCGGCGTCACAGTCTACACGTCCAAGAAGGAGGCCTTCAAGAAGGCGCTCGACGAATATACGGCGGCCGAGCCGTCCGCTTCGACCGAGAGCCTCTGGAGCGTCATCTGGGACTACATGGAGACGCACAAGCAGTGGAAGTCGTTCAAGATGCGCAACAACGACGTCATGTACCACGTGCCCGGCATCAGCGTCATGGACCTTGTCCAGAACGTCAACTTTTTCATGAACAAAAAGGACGCCGTGCTCAAGTTTACGAGCGAGCGCAAGAGCTTGGTCAAGAAGCGCAAGTCGCCGGACGGCGTCGAAGACGTGCCCCTCGCCGCGCCGTCGCCGCCCGTCGTCGTTGCGGCCGAGGCAAGCGTGGTGGCGCCCAAGCCGACGACTACGTCGGCGCTCCAGCCCGTTGCCCGGACCAAAAAGACAAAGAAGCGCGCGTTGAACGAGACAAGCGACAAGGAGAACAGCGACGTCAACAGCCGGTCGTCGACCTCGCACCGCCGGCGCTTTGGCGACGCCGAGTTTCCGTTTGCGCGTCTCTACAGCGTCCTCAAGGAGTTTGGCTGGACGTACGTCGCCAGCACCTTTGGCTACAAGTACGTGGTGCCCGGGCGTGACGCCAAGGGCGTCGAAGGCGTCGACCACTTTCCCACCGAAGAGGCCGTCATCGAGTTTCTTCAGAACAAGGGCCTGCTCCACGCGATCCAAGCGCATCTGCGCGGTGGTCCGATGCCAACGCTGGATTTCAATGCACCCACCGGTGTCCAGCCGCCGACAGCCAAGCCGGCAGCGACCAAGCCGGCAGTGACCAAGCCTGTCGAGCCCAAGCCCAAGACTGTCAAGCCCACGAAGCAGCGCCTCTCGTTCTCGGGCGTTGAGAACACGCCTGTCGCAGCGCCGGACGCCAAGAAGAAGGCCAAGGCGGTGGTCATCTCGGCCGAAGACGACGACACGTCCCCGATCAAGACGACGGTCACCAAGAAGGCAGTTGGCAACACTGCCAAGCTCAAGAAGCCCAAGGCAGTTGAAGGTGAGGCGGCCAAGCCCAAGAAGGTGGCAGATACTGCCAAGCCCAAGAAGACAACCGAGGCAGATACTGCCAAGCCCAAGAAGACGGCGAGCCGCAAGCTGACCATCTCGACCAAGGCGGCGGCCAAGGCCAAGGAGGTCTGTGCCGTGTCGCCGCCTCGCCGCGCAACGGGCTTCAAGTGCAGCTTTGGGCTTGTCTACCGCGTGCTGCAGAGCCGGGGCTACACGCACAAAACCGGTCCGATGGGCTATTCGTACTTTGCCCCCGGCAAGACCGAGGCCAACGGCGAGCTCAACGTCGACTACTGGCACAACGAAGTGGACCTCGAGCTCTTCCTCAAACGCACGGGCGAGTGGGCGCGCATCTCGCGCATCCTCGAGCGCTCCTACAACGGGTACTCGACGACTGAGAGTTCGCCGGAAGGCACGGCGGCGGCGTCCGAGGCGGGCACGCCGGCGCCGACGTCGCCCGTCCCCCGCTTCAACATGCCGTTGACGGACGCCGCGGCCGCGTCCGGGCTCTTCTCGCCCGATCGGTGCAACGACGCCGACGACGAAGACATGGCCGTCGAGTCGTCGCCCGAAGCCAAAGCCGTAAAGCCGGTCCTTCTGCGCCAAAAGCCGCAGCCGAAGGTCAATGCCAAGAAGGCCGTACCGGTCAAGTCGTCGGTGACGATTCCTCCGTTCGAGATGAAGTTTGGTCGGCTCTTTAGCCTGCTCCAGAAGCGCGGGTGGCGCTACAAGAACGGCCTCCTCGGGTACGAGTACGCCGAGTACAAGGACCGGAAGGAGCTGCGCTCGTTCCACTCAGAAGACGACCTGATCGCGTACCTCAAAGCGACTAAGCAGTACCCTGATCTCGAAAAGGAGCTCCAGAAGGAGCACCGGCGTCGGTACATCTACGAGTCGTCGACCGAGGGCGGGTCGGCCTCGGAGGCGCTGGTGCTGCCGTCGACGTCCGAGGACGAGACGGCGGATGCGACGTACTCGTTTGCCAACATTTGGCCCGTGCTCAAGGCGCGCGGGTGGACCGAGCGCAAGCCCAACACGATGGAGGACACGGCGTACACGTACTGCAACCCGCGCGGAAAGGTATACAACAAGTCGGGTGTGGTGACGTACGCCAAGCTCGTCAAGGTCCTCGACGACGCCAAGGAAGACGACGAGAGCGAGAACAGCGACTCGGACTCGTCCAGCGACGACGATGACAGCGAGCCTAGTGAGGCAAGCGACCCCAGCGACGACGACGACGACGGCAAGCCGACGCAAGACGACGAGACGGAGACGGAGACGGAGGTCGTCATCCACAAGACGCCGTCGACCAAGGCCATTGTGTTTGACACGCAGACGCCTGTGCTCCTAGACGTCGCGTCGTCGAGCGAAGAGGAGAAGACGCCAACGACGACGTCGACACCAACGCTGACGTGGCAGCCGCCGGCTGACGAGGCGACGCAGGTGCTTACGTCGCCAGTCTCGTCGCCAGCCAAGAGTGCCGCGTCGTCGCCAGCCAAGAGCGCTGCGTCATCGCCGGCCAAGAGTGTGGGCTCGCCCGAGAAGGGCCCGTCGCTCGTGGAGCAAGAAGTGTCGCGTGTGCTCGAAAACCTCAGCCTCGCGCACCGCCCGGACGCGATGCCGCACCGCGCCAAGCAGCAAAAGATGCTCCACGACTTTGTCCGCCGCTGCGTGCATCAAAAGCAACGCGGCAGCGCGTACGTCTCGGGCACGCCGGGCACAGGCAAGACCGCGCTCCTCCGCATCATGCAGGAGCAGATCACAAAGGAGTGGTCGAGTGCGCACCAGGCGACGCCGCTCTCTGTCCTCAACCTCAACGCGATGGCGCTCAGCGACAGCAACGGCGTCTTTACGACGATCGCGCGCAAGATGACCAAGCGGTCGTTCACGTCCACGGCGGACGCCATTGCCGCTCTCGAGATCGCGTTCCAGAGCACCACCGAGACGACGTACGCTCTTTTCTATCAATCTATCAGTGTATCAACCGTGTCTCACATCGGTGTAGGTTGCTGATCCTCGACGAAATCGACGTGTTGCTCAACGGCAAGGGCGAGAGCGACCTCTACCGTCTCTTTGAGTGGGCGCACCGCCCGTCGTCGTCGCTCATTTTCATTGGCATCGCCAACTCGATCGACCTCACCAACAAGTACATTCCGTATCTGCGCACGCGGTTGTGCATCCCGGTGGTCGTCATGTTCCGGCCGTACGACTACGACGCGATCCACAGCATCCTCGAGGCGCGCATCGTGCGCGACAGCCTCTTGCCCAAGGCGCTCTTTGAACCCGTCGCGCTCTCATTCCTCGCGCGCAAGATTGCGCAGCTCAACGGCGACATTCGCACGGCGTTTGACATTTGCCGGCGCGTCCTCAACCAAAAGGCCGAGAAGGAGAGTACGGGCAAGAGCTTTGCGGTCTCGCTCATGGAGATGTCGGCGACGCTCAAGCTTGTGGTCGACTTCCAAGGCTCCAAAGTGCTACAGACGCTGCCGCGCAACACGCAGTTCATCGTGTACGCGACGACCAAGATGCACCCGCGCGTCGCCAACGTCTACTCGATCCACGAGACGTACGACAAGTTTTGCGAACTGAGTCGATTGGCCGGCACGTCGGCGGCGTCGATCATGACGCTGCGCGAGTTTTACACGCAGCTTGATACGCTGTCGTCGCAGAACCTGCTGACGCTCAACGTCAAGAAGGAGTCGTTCCGGCTCTTCATGACGAAAGAAGAAAACGAAAAGAGCTTGGGCGTCGACCCGTACTTCAAGGCGCTTCTGCGGACGTCGTCGTCCATGTCTCCGTAGTCGTCATGTGTCTTTGGACCTTAGTAGACCCTCTTATTTTATCCCTTTGACATCGATACGATGCTGTGCTCTCTGCCACATCCCAGGGCTAGGGATACCGACGACCGACGTCAGCTCCGCAAGCGTATTGAGCCCTTGGTTCATGCTTCTTGCACTGATGGAGTGTCGCTGGTTGACCGACTCGTCACGGACGAGAGGCGTCATTCGACTAGGGCAGGAACGGCGCAGCATGACGCGACCGTTGGCGTCCTCGGACCTTGTGTCCAGAGCTACTGCGTGTACCGGAAGCTCGAGGCGAGGATGAGAGATGCAGACGTGCATGTTGAGGTTAAATAGCAAGGCGCTCCCAATGGCGCATAGATAGGTTAGATCGAGTGCACGCGCTGCGTGTGGCGCATGACGTCGTAGTAGACAAACGAGGATGACCGGCCGTCGTCGATCGGCGTGTCGAGCGCGCGTTCGAGGAGCGTGACGACCGTCTCGTGGCCGAGCTGGCACGCCTTCATGAGGCTTGTTTCGCCGCGGGCGTTCTCGCGGCTGACGTCGGCGCCCTTTCGCAAAAGATACGCGACCATGGGCCCGTGGCCGTGCATGCTGGCAATGTGCAGCGGCGTGTCGCCGATCGCGCTCTGTCCGTTGACGTCGGCGCCCGCATGCACGAGCAGCCGCGCGATCGTAAAGTGGTTTTCCTGCACGGCCACGTGCAGCGCAGAGTCGCCGTTCGGTCCTGTCGCGCCGCGGACGCTGGCCGACGCCCGGACAAGCGCCTCGACAAACGGAAGCGCGCCCGTTGCTGCGCAGATGTAGAGCGGCGCGACGCCGATCGCGTTCCGGGCGTTGACGTCGACGCCGAGGAGGAGGAGGTACTTGAGGACGTCGAGCTGCTGCATGCGGCACGCCGTGTGCACGAGCGTGTCGCCCACAGCGTACGCGTCGCCGCGGTAGTCGACGACGAGGCCAGGGCCACAATCGGCGACAAAGCGCTGGACGCTCGCAACGTCGCCGGTCGAGACGCAGTGGTGCAGAAACTGGCTGCGCGTGCTAGAATTGGCCGTTGCGAGCAGTAACCGCTGCATCTCGACATCGTCGCGGGCGGCCATGAGCGCTGGGAGCCGGGATACCTGTGGATGGGACGCGAGGAGCTGGGTTACGAGGGCAGTGTTGCCGATGCTACTGGCCTGCGCCAGCACCGCGTCGTCGACGGCCGCGCCGTGGGCCAAGAGGATGTCGATTATTGCCGTTGCGCGCTTGGTGATGGCCAACACGAGCGCGCTCTCGTTGGGCGAGTGGCACTTGTTGGGCAAGGCGCCGGCGCGCAAGAGCACAGCGGATATCGCCTCGTCGGCCGCGAGCACGGCCATCTGCAAAAGCGTGAGGCCGCACACAGTCGATCGGTCGGGCGGTGGCAGCTGCGCGAGGGGGCACGTGCGCGGCGCCCGGCGCATGCAGAAGGGCGAGACGCAAACTTTGTGTTTGCTGCTGCACACGACCGTGTGGTTGACAGTGCAGGCGTGGATCGCAATGTGCGCCTCGACAACGTTCGGGTCGCCGGCGAGCACGAGGTGCGCGAGGTCGCGGCAGCACTGGCGGTCGGCCGAGCACGTGCGCGGGCGCATGCGGGGCTCGGACACGGCCGGCGTGTACCACGCGCAAGAACCGAAGATCGACATGATGCGTGGTGGGAGGCGACTTAGTCAATGAGCACCCGTCGGCGCGAGGTGTGCTGGACTCAGCGCTTGCCATCTGCGCGTTCCAGCACATGTGTCACTGACCACTCGCGCGAGATATGGCCGAAACGACCACCGCCCGAAGGAAGCAGCCCAACCAACTTGAAGAAGAAGAAGTAGGAGAAGGCAACGGCGTCGATCCAGTCAATGACGTATTGCATCATCATCAACCACCGCCACGAGTGCGACGAAGAAGCCACAGCACCGTGTCCGCTTCGACCACACTTCCGCATGAAGAAGCCATGTCCTCCATCATCATCATCTTCATCATCAACATCATGGGCACTCCACGAGCAAGCTGCTATTGCTGCGCAGCGAATCGTTTCGATCCGTAGCGACCAACCGACATATCACCATGGTCGGCCATTGCAAGCACGTGTGGCTTCTAGGCGGCGGAGCTCAAAGAGCCGATGGCAACCGGTGGTGGTGGCGACGCGGTAGTACACAGTACGTACCTCGCGTCGGTTGCGGCGTTGGTTCCTCGCTTGACGGATGGATCCAGCTTCTACATGCGTCGTCTTGCGACCAGGATTACTTGATGGTAACCATGCTACATGACATCCGTGTTTGGTAGCAATGGAAGCTCGTCGAAAATGAGGCAAGTACGTATACGCAGCCTCGCCACGTCGCCCCATATCTCTCTCTTTTCTGCGGTGTGGAGACACGCAGCTGCACATGACAAGGTTGTCATGCGACTAAAGGCGTGGGGTTGACCGACATCTGCATGGAGCAAAACCCTTCTTCTTTCGGTGGAATCATTAGACAGAGATGCATAACACGTATCGCAACGGAGACGACTGCAACGTCCCATTGTCAGGGCGATAGAGACGTGCGTTGGTGGTTGCATGTGGGCAGCAGCGGCCATCTTGACGTAGAAGAATGGAGCAAGCGCGCTGCCTGGCGCTATTTCCGCCAAAGGCCATTGGCCACTTTTTGCACCAATGGCCAACGTTTCATAATCGGATTTTCATCCAATGGAAGCGACGTATTTTCGGTGGTCGACTCGCCTTTGATCATCCATCAAAAAGTCGAGACGGAACGATGGCCAAGGTAGATGGCGGCGCTGGAAGAAGGTCGACGGTCGATGCTCATGCACATACGATAGGGTAAGGCCAAGTCGGTCATCATCAAGCTGCTCAGCGCGGCCAACACTGGGTACGATGCCATGGACATGGAGAAGCGGCGCTAACCTGACGCGTAGCTTCTTCTACACGACGCGCAAGAACCCGCGCAACATGCAAAAGAAGTTGGCCCTTCGCAAGGTAATAGCTTGCACGAGGATCCTGCTGCGTTCTCACGAATCGACGTAGTACGACCCCGTTGTCCGGCAGCACGTCTTGTTCAACGAGGCCAAGATCAAGAAGGGTTAAACAGCATGAACACACAAGTAGATCGAGTAGAGAAGAAGCATGGTAACTCGCCAACAATGAGCGCGCTCCCTGCTGCGTGGGTGTCTTCTTTGGTCTCTCTGACCTGCAGGCCCATCGCCTCGTACGATAAGATTCCGCCACGCACATCCTCTGCGTCATCATCCCGTACGGGCCGTGACGCACCTGCCGCGTGCACCTAGCTACCGGAGGGCACCCAGTTCCAATGATGCCATGATCTAAGCCCTTCGTCCATGCGCTGGCAGTCGGCGGAGCTTCGCCTTCCGGGCGCATCATTATCATAGAATCCTAGTCGTTGTCGCTGTCTTTGCTGCTTGGCGACGTGGGCATAATATGTGGCAGAATCGACGACCTTAAAAGTGGCATCCCGCGTAAAGTCCAGTTGTTTATGGTCCGCGAGCTCTCTGGCGCGTCCCTGCGACGCTTCTAAAGCTGGCTCACACCACCTGCGTATGGTTGGCCTGTATCCCCTTGAGAGACCATCGTGTACATGCGCTCCTTTCCCGTCTTGTCGCGTCCACCACTGGCTTGGTTTCCCCAATAAAGTTCACTTTGCTCTTAAGTTCGGCGTCACCATGCCTAATCAGATTAATTGTGGCGTTGCAATACGCCAAGCCGCGACCGCGACAGTCCACCTTCCTATAGCACCATGCGCACGCGCCTCCACAACCTCCAGCGTCCGCTCAAGGCAATACGCTGCGCCGCCAAGGCCAAAGCGGCGGCGTCCGCCAAGCAAGCCGAGGCCCAGGCCTGCGAGCGCCTCCAGGCCACGAAGAACGCGCTGGTACCGGCCCTTGCCGCCCGAGCCCGTTGACAAGTCTCGTAGATGATGCGCTTCACCAACGAAAACTCGTATCTGAACTGGGCGCGTAATGGCGTGCTCTCGTCTGGCGTCGGCGTGGCCATGTATGCCCAAGAGCACCACCGCGGCGCGCACCTGAGCGGCGCCGGTACGCTCGGCGACCACCGACCCACGAATGTCACCTCTGTCCGTAGGGCTCTTGCTGCTTGGCTTTGGCTACATTGGTGTCGGGTCGCTCAAGTACATTCACTACGTGCTCCGGTACCGCACGCTCATGGAGATGACGTGGCCGAGTGTCATTGCTACGTGCTCCCATGCGTCGATCGCGCTCGGGATTTGGCTCACGGCGACGGCGTCGTTCCTGGTAGGATGGTGCTTCGACTACAACGTCCCTCATGGCTTGTCGTCGTAGGAGTCGATTCCGCTGGACGTGGATGTCCTGCTGCTGGAAGAGCCTTTCATTTCGTACTTGCCCAATCGCATTGCCCAAGGCTTGATCGAGACGTACAATCTACACCAAGACTTATACGACGACGACGCGGTCGTGCGGCCGGGCTCGCATTAGCCGACGCCTTGTCTCTAGTACCGCATCGTCTAACCACCTCTATCTACGCGTGGTGCCAATATACAAAAGTTTGCTCCTTCTTCGGCAGCAAGAGCGTCGCATCTACGGGCTTCACGCCGAACAGTCATGTTCCATCGAGTTATGCTTGCCGAGGCGCGCGACGACGCTTAGTTCGTGGCGTCAAAGTCAGGGTTGCGACGCACGGTGACGCCGTCCCACGTGATGTTGATGGGCTCGTAGTCGCGTTCCGGAAAGCGAGCATCGACGATGGGCGCCGCCAATAAGATATCGCTTTCGGGCGAGCGCGGCAGCGACGCGCCGTGGTCGACGAGGTCCTTCAAGATGCGCGTAATCTCATCGGGCGTCTTGTCGTCCAAGAACACTTGCTTCTCCTTGCCCCAGTCTACAGCCCATCTTAGCCATGCTGATTGCTCCACGGCGGCGCGTACCGTAGCGAGCGTACACGAACGGCTTGAGCTCCTCGGCCTCACGGTACACAAAGGGCGTGCGCGGGTTGAGCATCTTGAGCTCGTTGTAGTTTCGTCGGAAGAAGGAGCTAGACGACGCAGGTGGATGAGCGAGGTAGCGTGTCATGGCCCACGCAGCGGCGAGCTTACCGGAGGCCGCTGCTGCTCTCCGAGGTCGAGCAGGCCACGAAGCGCAGTTCCTGGACGTTGCGGGAGATTTGGGCGCGCCAGCTCATCTTGCTGCCGTCTTCGTCGTCGGTAATTTGGCACTTCCCAACGCCACAAAGCCCCGACCAATCGCAGGTCATACGGATAACGCACACCCATTATCCGGAAAAGGCGGCCGCGATCTTGAAAGGCCGCGACCAGACCATTATACAGTAAAGGGCGATGGCGATGCATCTTGGCCTGCAGCTGCGCGCAATGGCGCCATGCTTGACTGCCTCCATGTGGTCGGCGCCGTGGCTACCGGCGGTCGATCATGCTCCGAGCCGCCCGCCCTCGTCGCCCAAGCAGGCTCTTTCTGGCGATACCGAACGCTTGCATCAACATGCGACTACGATCTTGAAACTTAAAGCAAGCTCGTGCGCACGGACGACGCCTCGCGAACGATGTCGACGTGCAAGAGCGCCTTGAACGCCAGGAAGAGGCACCCGATGGGCAAGAGCACCAGAAACGAGACGCGCGCGACACGCGCACCGTCGGCCGAGAGCGTCGATGCATTTGTCGTCGTCACCGCACTGCCCGTCGCCTCTTGCAGCCACTTGTTGAGAAAGTACAGAATGTTGGCCTTTTGCTGACGACGCGGCGCAGGGTCGAGCGCCGAGTTGCCGAGGTCGCCGCAGTGGCCGCAGAGGTCGCAGACTGCCAAGAAGGCCGGTTGGTCTTCACTCAGCGACGCGAGCACTGACGCACGCTGCCACGGATCGTCGCCGCCGTTGGCATAAAAGATGTTGTGACCGTGGGGCTTGTCGCCGCCGTAGCGCTGGATCGTAGCGGCGACGCCAGCGGACGGGTCGACCACGTCGCCAAAGATCTCGTAGCACTGCTTCTCGTGGTAGTCGAGGTCCACGATTGACGACCGGAGGCTGTCGTGGTGCGGCGCCACCTAGTCGTCGCAACCGTTAGACGGCGACGAACACGCTGGGGTGAACCTGGAAGTAGGCGAGCTGGTAGCACTTTTGCCAGCGCCACGAGCGCACGTCGGCCCAGCGCGACGGGTCGTTCTTGAGGCAGGTCGTGTCGTAGAAGCAGCCCGCGCCAAAAGCAGCGCCGTACATGCCAATGGTAAAGTTGGCGAACGCCTACACTCCTCCTCGTATTCGGCGCGACGCGGGGTCGAAGCGCGTACCTCGGGGAGCGACACGTTGGCTTGGACGGCCGCGACCATGGGCGCGCAGAGCTGGTCCTTCTTGCCGTACTGCACGGCCATGGCAGCCGAGTCAGCGAGCATGTAGAAGAAATCCGGGTCCGCGAGCGCTTGAGCGCCAAGAAGGCCCTTGACCTATATCCACGCAACCTCAGTCGCACAAGTAATGCAGTGCCACGAACCTCGTCGCTGCGGCCGGCGTGGATCTCGGACTCGTACGCTTTTGTGATTTGGCGAAGGGCGTCAGCACACTCTTTGCCTGCAGAGAGCGCGACCTACAAGACTGCGTGAGAGACCGCACTAGCCCCTGTGAGCAGAAACCTGTTGGTCGAAAGCGTGAAAGTTGTAGACGGGGTTGACGACACCGGACGAGGACAAAGCCGCCACCGTCGTGTTCGGATACGCAATGCTAGCGCCAGCATCGATAAAAGCTCTCAGCAAAAGACGCGTACCGAAACCACGCCGAGAGCGCACCGGGATAGGACCCACCGACCGCGATCCACGGGTTGGACGTGGTGGAAAGCGTCGCTTGGTACGCCTCGATGAACGCCTTCAAGTCGGCGAGCGCTTGCTCGACGGTCAAGAACTTGAGGTTCTCGGTCGAGAGGTCGTCCTTGGGCAAGCTCTTCCCGTAGAAACGGTGTTCGAGGGCGACGACCTATGGCCTTCCGTTGGCGACCCAGCCAAGTAGGGCAGATACTGTCGCGTACCTTGGCACTGTGCTCCTTGGCAATCACGTCAATGTAGCCCGTGGGCATCTTGTCCATTGCGCCTTCGCCACCAATGTACATGATGATCGGGCTCTTGTCGAGCCCGCCCCAGTACGTATCGTCCACGTAGTAGCGCTGGAGAAAGTGGAGTGGCGGCTTGGGCGAAAAGTGGTCGAGCGTTTGCTGGAACCACTGCGCCTCCGGCGCCGGCGCCAGCGACACGACGGCGCCCGCCACGAGGTCCTTGAAGAGGTTGCCTCCGCGCGCATGCGTCGGCGGCAGGTGCAGCGCCGAGGCCATCGCGACGCCGCTCAGCAACGCCAGGGCAATCTTGGTCGTCACCATCCTTTTTGCCGAATGACTTCGACTCAGAAAAGATCCCACGCGCTGATTGGCTCGTGCGCAACGTCAAGGATCCTTATCATACACAGACTACACCCACGCAACTTTTAATATCAAGGAAACTCAGATCTTGGTGCCTTACGACTGGAGAGTTGGGTTCGTATAGTGCATGCGATTGCCCTTTTGTCGCCATCCGGACATCCGTATACTGTGCCAAGATCGCGACCGAAGGTCATCCATCATGTGGCGCCGCTTGTGTCCTCGCTCGGGCAGGTCGAGAGCTGCAAGGCGCCTGCTAATGAACATACGTAGAAATGGCCTGTCACCTCACACTGCAGAGCGGCCAAGTCTTCAACTGGCGCCAAGTCCAAGCGCAATGGGTCGGTGTTATCCAGCGTCACGTCATCGCGCTCCGGGAGGCCGAGTCAGCGATCGAGTACACATGCTTGCACGCGCCTCCGCTGCAAGACAAGGAAGACGACGTTCATGCACTCGTGTCATCCTACTTTCGCACTGATGTACCCTCCCATTTGCCATTGCCAGCGGCTCATGCCATCGATAGGACAACCTCGGCGAGCTCTACGGTGCGTCGTTTTCTCCCGAGTGCGATGACTGCATTGTCGCGTAGCGTCGTGGATGCAGCCCAACGACCAGTTCTCACCGGCCTTTGCGTCGCTGCCCGGGCTCCGCCTCATTCGGTGCGTGCATACTCTTGCTTCCATACGTGCCGCATGGCGAGCGTCCTAGCCAAGACCCGCTCGAGTGTCTCTTTTCGTTCATTTGCTCGTCCAACAACAACATTGCGCGCGTGACGCAGATGCTCGAAAAGTTACGCGCGCGCTTTGGCGACGAACTCATGACCCACGACGGCACGCCGCTGCACGCCTTCCCGACCCTCGCGCAGCTACAGGCCATCCAAGAGCCCGAGCTGCGCACGCTCGGGTTCGGGTACCGCGCCCAGTACATTGTCAAGTCGGCGGCGATTTTGCACGACCTCGGCGGCGAAGCCTACTTGCAGACGCTGCGTGCGAACGCAGACGCGGCCGCCGTCCAGACGTCGCTGACGCAGTTTGCGGGCGTCGGGCGCAAGGTCGCCGACTGCATCGCGCTCTTCTCGCTCGAAAAGCTCGAGGCAATCCCCGTCGATACGCACGTGTGGCAGATCGCTTGCCGCGACTTTCACGCCAAAGTACACTGTAGATCTGTGAATGTATGCACGCTGAACAACAAATACGATGACGCAGGCGCACAAAAGTTTGACGCCGACCGTATACGCCCAAGTGGGCCAGCTGTACCAAGACAGGTTCACGCCGTACGCGGGGTGGGCGCACAGGTACGACCTTTGCGTTAGTCTCTTTCGATGGTGGCATGCTAGTGTCCTCTTTGCGGCCGAGCTGGCTGCGTTCAAGCCAGCGAAACCGGCGGCCGCCAAGCCTCTCAAGCGCAAGAAGAGCGACATCGACGACTCGTCCAACAAGCCCATGAGAAAGAAGTCGACCCGCACGCGCGCCCAAACTGCCTAGTGGCGATACTCGGTGGTCATGGATCGTCGGGTCATGCTACTGAGCGAGAACAATATTGTCGAATGACGTTGTGGTCCCTCTTCGTATTCATACCATACACTGTGGTACCGGAAGCGATACGCTGATAGATGCGAGATAGTAACGTTAACTTGGTGACTCTAGTAGTAACCTTAACCTCGTAGCACTGAGCACTGAATTTGTGCATCGAAGTCGGAATCGGTGGCGACACATATCTTGCCGCGGGATTGTTGTATCTTTTGGCCAAATAAAATGCAAATTGGTCGTCTTTTCTATCCGGATACGATCCGGACCGATCATCGAACGGCCTTTTTGAGGCAGTTTGGTATTTTCGGCTGCACCCGTCGCGAGCCAGACACGAAGCATGCAGAACCCGCTGCCGACGCCACCTGCTAGCGCCATCTCGCCCCCGGCCACGCCGGGCCACGCGTCGCCGCTGCTGCCCGAGCGCCGGTCCTTTAGCTCCGTCTACTCGATGGGCAAGGCCCTCGGCGAAGGTGCGAGCGCAACGACGCGCGACGCGCTCACGCGTCGTTCTCGGCGTAGGCAACTTTTCGGTCGTCAAGCAGTGCACGCACAAGGCCACGGGTAAGCCGTTTGCGGTCAAGTGCATCAAGAAGACGGCGCTCAAGAAGAAGGACCTCGACAACATTCACCGCGAGATGGAGATCCTGCGCAAGGTAGCACCCGCTCATGACGTACGTTATCAGAACTCATCATGGCATGGTGCAGCTCGACCACCCCAACATTGTCAAGCTCGTCGACGTGTTTGACAACGAAGGCGACATGTGCTACTTGGTCATGGAGCTTGTCACGGGCGGCGAACTCTTTGACCGTATAATCGCCAAGGAGCACTACACGGAAGCCGAAGCCAAGGTTGGCGACTCCATCATCTTTGAGCCTTGGAGCGCATCCTGCTCATGTGTAGGTGGTCGTGCGCACGGTCGCCGACGTCCTAGTCTACTGCCACGCCCAAGACATTGCCCATCGCGATCTCAAGCCCGAGAACCTCCTCTACGCGACGGCCGACGACAACGCGGAGATCAAGATTGCGGATTTCGGCTTTGCCATCATCGCCGCCGACGGCGTGGTGATGCAGACCATGTGCGGGACGCCCGGGTACTTTGCGCCCGAGGTCATTGCCCGTCGACCGGTACATCTCGTCCATGCTCTCGGTCTCATGCTGCTGTAGTACGAGCAAAAGTGCGACATTTGGAGCTTGGGCGTCATCATGTACATCCTTCTGTGCGGGTTTCCGCCGTTCTACGACGAGAACCAGATCCAGGAAATGGAAAAGGTGTCGTCCAAGCGGTCGAATGGACACTGATATCGATGGTGCTAGATCCGCAACGCCGAGTACGACTTTCCATCGCCATACTTTGATGACATTTCGCCGTCGGCCAAGGACCTCATCGCCAAGATGCTGCTCGTGAACCCGGACGCGCGGTTAAGCGCATCGGACGTCCTCGCGCACCCGTGGCTCGCGGACGCCGCGACGCCGATGCCGCAGCTGCGCTTTGTCGGCACGAACCTCCACGACCGGCGGGAAAAGACGCGCGCCAAGTTCAAGCGCAGCGTCAATGCGATCATGGCCATCAACAAGACCGGTCGGCTCGCGAGCAGCAAGAGCCAGCGCAATGTGTAGACTCGCACCCTAAACCCGCTGTCAATGCACGATGCCTCTTTTCGTTCTCAATAACACTGTTCTCTTGGCCTCAGCACACCATTTGCTATGCGGCAGATCTGGAGACTGCGTAGCCTCGAGTGCATCTGCTCCGTTTCTGTTCCATAACGCTATGGGCCATAAAGAGGAGCTGGCTACGGTTTTGCTTTTGCTACCCCGACCCCTAATGGACACCCTACCCCTCGCAGACGCCGAATTAGCTCCAAAGCTGTCCACGCATGGACGCTCCCGTATGAGCCCGTAGAATGCGCGCTGTACGATGCAATCGCCTTGTACCGGTAGTCAGCTGCGAACGCCTTTACAAGGTACTTGTGCTTCTACTTGGCGGTCGAGCGGAAACGAGAAGAAGTATTTTGCATTCGATTCATGCGGGTACATCTTGGGTGTCTCGTTGCGCTGGCCGTCTGCAGCTACGGCGCCGACGACGTTATCCGCGTCAAGACGCTCGAGCCGCAGGCCAACGACGGCGGCTTCCAGAGCCACAAGATCACGAGCGCGCTCGGGGGCGACGGCTTCAAAAGCGAGTACCGCTGGTTCAACTCCAACATTGGCCTGCGCACCAAGCACGTGAGCGTCGGCGAGCTCGCGCGCACCTTTTACGACGGCGTGGTTGGCACCACTAAGAAGCTCAAGTCGTATCTCGCTTCGGCTGTGCGCACCATGCAGCAGTCGCCAGCTCTTCCGACCGTCAACAGTACTTTGGCGGGACCGCTGCTGGATCCGCGCGCCGCCTTTCTCACGATTGCCGAGTTTGTCCGCGCGTACAACATCTCGACAGAGCGCGTAAATGCTACCAAGGTGGCGTCCGTGCCGACGCTGCGTGCCTACACCTACACGGGCGTCACGTACATCAACGTCTCGGGCTCGATCGCGAGCCAGTATGCGCCGTATCCGTCGTATACACCGAGCTACTACGCACCGTCGCTACCCAACGGTATTTTGCCGACGACCACGTACCCTTGGCCATGGGGCGGCGCGATCACGCAGCTCAACGCGCTCGTCAAGCTTGCTGCGTCCTCCAATGCAACCGCAACCAGTGGCTCAAACGAAACACTGACCGCGATGCGCGCGATTTGGGCGTCGTTCTACATCGTGTCGGGGATCCCCGTACCACCGATCGTACCACCGCGCACGTCGCTGGCGGTCGGCGATACATCGCAAGGGCTGGCCTTTTACGCATATCCGGCGCCCGCGGCCGGCTTTGGTCGGTCGGGCGTCACGTTCTTTGCGCCGTCGCTCTTGAACCGCAGCCTCTTGGCGATCGACCAGCTCCGATTAGCCTTCGACGATGCGCTGGACGCAGACGTCGCCGGATTGCTTCACGGGATCGAGTCGCCGTCGAGCACGTGGTACTCGGCGTACGACCGGGAGACCGACGAGCTGGCCGACTTGTGTCTCGGCAGTCTCGTCGCAGCGACATCGCGCGACGCCCCGCGCCTCTTCAACCTCCTCGTCGAGAACAACGTGCAGCAGCCGAGCTGTTTGTGGCAAGCCAACGCCTACTACTTCCGCGTCAAGGCCCGCGCGCCCCGCCGCAGTGTTTTCACAGAGGTGGGGTCCCTCGCTGCGTACGTCGGTGCGCGGGCGATGAACGTGACGCGGCTCAAGGCGGCGCTGCGGGCTGACCGCGCGTCGGCGGTCGAGACTGCAGTACAGCGTGCCAATGCGACGAATATGCCGCCGCTAGCGAGCATGGGCGGCGGCGTCGTGCTCTTCGCAGCCAACGACGATGGCGTCGTGTTGCAGGTGATCAAGGAACCCGAGCCGATGCACTTGGTGCTTCGCGCCGTCATTCGACTCGGCGAAAGCATGTTTTTGTCGGCCAAAGACATGGACGTCCTCGTGGCATGCGTCGCGCTGCAGCTGCTTGGCCACTCGTGTAGCCGCTGTGTATAACTTCTACGATCGCTACAGTGTGCTTTATTGGAGATGCCATCAAATGGGATCGATACAGGGCTCGGGTAGCTGCCTTGCGCACTCCCAGTCGTGTAGAGAAATCACGATTGATTGATTGATATTCTAGCAGAGCGTACTGGCTCACATCCACTACAATTGTAGAATGGCTAAAATACCATTCCTGCTGTGCATTTTCGTCGAGGGTTAGGGTACGAAAGTTGCTTTTGTGGTTCCACTTTGGAAAGGTCCGAATCCAGAATTGAGCTGCGATGGCGGGCATTTGGCCTCTGCCGTGGGGAATTTCAGAATCTGGAATTGCAATGTGACGCTGAACGATTCTGCTTTTGTCCATGTGATACGGCGACCGAGCGACGTGCGAGCTTTGCCACTCACTTTTCCTTTTGCTCGCTCATGGTGCTCGGGTTCACATTCGCACAAGAGACTGCAGCGGCCGTCGCCGTCGGACTTGCTTGCTTGCTCATCGCCAAAGCCGTGGTAGTCTACCGCCGCAAAGCTCGGATTGCCAAAGGGCTCGCCCATCTACCGAGTCTTCCGGGCCACAAACTACTGGGCAACTTGGTGCAACAAGGCGAGCACATCCACGACCACTACTACTGGAAGCTGGAGCTTTTCGAGACGCTTGGGAGCACGTATGCGATGCGCGTAGACTTGCTTCTGGACGGCTCCGTGTGCACCTCGAGCGCCGCCAACGTCCGACACATCCTCGCGACCAACCACACGAACTACGTCAAGCCAGCGATGATGCAGCGCGCGCTCGGTGAGCTCATGGGCAGCGGCATCTTCAACGTCAACCCATCCGCCTCGTCGAGCTGGAAGGCCCAGCGCAAGATCATCGCGTCGCTCTTCTCGACCAACGCCATCAAGACACTCATGGACACCATCTTCGTCGAGCACACGTCGGCGCTCGTGTCGGAGATCGAAACACTAGGCGACGGTGCGCTCCTGGACGTCGAGGCCACTGCGCTGTCGCTGACGACCAAGTTCACTTATGCCATGGCGTTTGGGCTCGCCTTTGAGACCGAGAACGCCACCGAGTTTCGAGACCTTTTTCGGGAAGCGAGCAACCTCAGCGTCTCGCGCTTCACGCAGCCGTGGTACCAATGGCTCGGCTGGTTCATGCCGTCCGAGTACCGCCTCGCGCGTGTCATGCGGCGCATCAACGCGCTCTGCCACGACACGATCCGCACCAAGCGGCTCAGCGCCACAAGGGGCGACGACCTTCTCTCGGAGCTCCTCCGGCGCCAGGAAGCCGGCAACGACATGATTTCCGACACCTTTATCCGCGACATGATGATGACCATGATGCTTGCGGGTCGGGAGACGGTCGGGAGCGGCCTCGCGTGGGTCATTTACACGGTGAGCAAGCACCCTATCGTCGAAGCGAGGCTCGTAAGCGAGCTGCAAGCCGGTGAGATTTCCTACGCGGGCGTCGGATGCATGTCGTACCTCGATGCGGTCGTGCGCGAGACCTTACGCCTCTTCCCACCTGTGCCGTACGAGCTCAAGAGCGCTATCACGGACGATGTATGGCCCGACGGCACGTTTGTCCCGGCGGGAACCAATGTCGAATTTTCGCCATTCGCAATGGGTCGCAACGAAACCCGGTGGCCACAGGCAACGACGTTCTCGCCCGAGCGTTGGCTAAATGACACTCCACGACCAAGTGCGTTCGAGTACCCGGTCTTCAACGCGGGCCCGCGCAGCTGCGTCGGCCAAACCGTCGCGCTCCTCCAGCTCAAGGTTGTCGTCGCAAGCCTCTACCAGCGCTTTACGTTTGATCTTATTTCGCCGCTCAACGAGCCAGCGTTCGAGCTCGGTATCGGTCTCTTCTCCCAGGACAGCATTCAAGTCCGCGCGTACCTCCGGCACTAAACTCGCACTATCTGTCGACCCTAGTCCTAGTATCAACATAAAACCTGTCGTCTCCCAGTACAGTGTCAAAGTATTTATAACTCCAATGATTTGAAACGTATCATAGGTTGATTATTGATGGCCTATCACAACAATAAGCATCTTTCGCAGCTGAAAATTGGGTACATAAATCATGTATGTTTTACATGTACAAAATGTTGACAGCACCCTTCTTAGCGGGGTAGGGGTTCTTGGATCGCCTGGTCGCGCTAATCGTAAATTGATTAAATTAAGACTTTGCGAACAGGACGGTCCCACCCAGAAATAGGTTTTCCTCACCATGCGCTCCTAGAATATGGTGCGACTTGTCTTGAATGGCTTCTGAAAGCGGTTTCCAGTTTCCCACCTCGATGGCAACCACATTTACGACGTTTAGCCATATTTACCGACACGACGTTCAGCTCACGAAACGCCACTGGCCCGAAACCAAAGATGGCGATGCGACGCGAGGACACGACGATCGAATTCGAGCCCCGCGACCCGCGCGAGAAGGCCGAGAAGTACCTCAAAGCCAACAAGATCCACGTGATTCTGCAGGTAGCGCTCGCAGAGCTACTCGTCGATGCCATCGGTCTCGTGCCAGGAGATCTGCACCAACATGATGTACATCCGCCCGACCAACCCGCGCGAGTTCATGGTGCAGCAGCTCAACCTCATTCGCCACGCCCGCGAGAACCGGACGGCGGTACACACCACGCCGATAGTAGCCACAGGCGTCGATCGAAGTGCGGGCTAGATGACGTTCTTCACCGAGACGGACTTGGCGACAATGTTTTCCATGTTTGACACGACGAGTCAGGGCACGATCAGCCTCGTGCAGTACGACCAAGGTTCGCCCATGCGCTAGCAGAGGTGGTTGCTGACTGCGTTCTCTTAGCCTTGCTCAACCTCGGCATCGATCGCCCGACGTTGCGCCTCCCCGAGTCGATCAACCGCGTCGATAAGAACTTATTTGTGCGCAGCATGCTCCAGGAACTCAAAAACAACTCGTGCGTGTAGTCGAGAATCTGCATATGTATAAACAGTGTACAATCTTCTTTGGACGACTAGAGAATCGTCAGGTCGTCGTTGTAGTAAATGTGCACAATCGGCTGGTAGTCGTCGGCGTCGAGATGGAGCTTTTCAAACTCGGCCGCTTCGTCGAGGATGCCGTTTTGCGTCAGCGTCTTGTCCATGTCGAGCGGAAGAAACTCGTGGCCGTCCAAGTACTACCCTCTCGCTTCAGTACAATAGTGTCTCTGTGACATACCTTCCACGTGTAGCTGCCGGCATGGGCATTGAACTGCAGGTCAATGTACCGCTTTTGGATTTCGTAGAGTGTCTCTTCCGAACACACCTAGGTCCAAAGACATTGATGGACAGCGACGTCAATCTGTCCAACCTGAATCGAGTGACTCTGGTGCGTCAGCGTGTTGACGACTTGGATCGAGCGCACTTTTTCGGTCATGAGCCCAATGCAATGCGCATCGTCCTACGAGGATGCCACGTCATCAAGTTGCCATCGAAGCTTTATGTGTTGTACCGTCCACCACGGCTGGAGCTCGAGCGTATTCCAATCGGTCACAGGCTCGGGGGGTGGCACGTCGAGAAAGCGTCCGTAGGGCAAAAACGGCAAGCGAATGTTGCGGTCGGGATCGATGTGCGTCTTGACCTGCATTTTCCTCAGTCGACGTCCATGCCGTTCGTTGTACCTCGCGCGTGACGGCGTCGAACCAGTGCGTAATGTCTTCGCCAGCGTGCTGCACGAGCGGCTGCGTGAGCTTGCCACGGTGCGCTGCGATGAGCGCCGTGACATCGAGGACGCGCCCAAAGACGACGAGCCAGCAGTCCTAGCCAACATCAGCATCGAGTTTTTCGGATCTGAATAGCGCCGTACGTCGGCGCACTTGTGGATGCCGACTTCTTCGGGCGTGTAGTACCGGCGGTGGATCGTCTTGAGCTGGAACTTCATGTCGGCGTTTGAAACCTGCGTCAAAACGACCGAGGTGTGTCGTTTCATCTTCATGAAGCGACGACCGCCGCCCAAGTCGGAGCAGGCCAAGCGTGCGTTCTTGCGCCGACTGGGCTCTGAAATAACCAAAGAGTCGAATGTCGTCCAGGATGCGTGGAGTCCCGGCCACAACTTTTACTCGACCACCGAAGTCCGCAGCTGGGGCAGCGGCAGCCACGGCCAGCTTGGGCTCGGCGACGACCGCCACCGTCTCGCACCCGAGATCGTCCTCGAGCTCTACCGCATCTCGACGGACCACCGCAAGCTTCAGGTACTATCGTCTACGAATTGCATGTGTTCACAACCGTTTGTAGCTGAGCTGCAGCGAGCTTTTCACGGTTGCTGTCAACGACGAGGGCCACGTGTACCTCTGGGGCCGTCCGCCGACCGACTCGACGCTGCCGACGACCGCCAAGGTCCCCGAGCGGGTGCCGGGTCTGGACAGCATAGCGATTCAGAGCGTCGCTTCGGGTTCGGGGCACATTGTCCTCCTCTCGGCCACTGGCGCCGTCTACACGTGGGGCAAAGGCGGAAGCGGGCGTCTCGGCCACGGCGACGAGCACAGGTACGACGCCAAGAGCCCATCATGTTGCTGACGACGGTGTAGCGTCACCGTCCCCAAGCACGTCCAGCACATGCCCACGACAGCCGCCATTCAGTGCGTGGAGGAGCGAACGTAGGTGCCTAACAAGCCTTGTAGCCAAGTCGCTTGCGGCGCAGAACACACGCTTGTACTGGACGCCACGGGGCGCGCGTTTGGCTTTGGCAGCAACCGCGCCGGCCAGCTGGGCACAGGCTCCTATTGCAATAGCAACGAACCGGCGCTCGTGGCCAGCGCCGTGCGCTTTGCCTCGATCGTTTGCGGCATGAACCACTCGGGCGCCGTGAGCCTCGACCACGCCGTGTATACGTGGGGCTGGGGCGAGAAAGGGCGCTTGGGCCTCGGCTCGGACGCGTCTGCACATACGTACGTCGTCTTCTACTCTTGTCGACTAGAACAAGAGTAGACCAACGCGCATCGAGACCTTGCGCGATGTCAAGCTGCTCAGCTTTGGCGGGGCACACTCGCTTGCCCTTACACACAGCCGCAAGGTACCGTGTTGGATCAACATCGTTGGCTTTCGATTCAACAGGTGTATGCGTGGGGCTGGGGGGCGTTTGGCCAGGTATGGTCCCCCCTCATTGACGGCTCACAGCAGAATGGGTAGCTCGGCCTCGGCCACTGCAGCGACTCGAGCGTCCCCAAGCGTATCAAGAGCCTCGACGACATCGAGCAGATTGCATGCGGTTTTGGTCACTCGGCCGCCGTCTCGTTCGGCGGACGTCTCTATCTGTGGGGTTTTGGCGAGGAAGGGCAGCTCGGCACGGGCGACGAAGGCAACCGCGATGTGCCGCAGCTTGTCTGGACACACAAAAGCGGCACCGCCACGGACCCGCCCAAGGTCCTCCAGATCGCTCTTGGGAAAGTGCACTCGATCGGGATCGCCGAGCTGAGCATGAGCGCGTCCCAGCGGGCCAAGCTCAATCCAGACACGATCCGCACCGCAGCCAAGCGCATCCAGCGCACCGTGCGGCACTTTTTACGCCGCACGCGGGTACGCTTGGCGTTGGTATGTCACCATGACAGCCCCACCTCGGTAGGTGCGCCGCCGACACGCCGCGTATGCGCTGGAGCGACAGACGCAGTACGAGCGAGAGCGCACCGAGGCGAGCCGACAGCTTCTCGCCGAAGAAGAAGCACGGCGCAAGCGCGACGAGCAAGTCAAGTGCGACGCCTTGCAAGCCGTTGCCGTCGCCAAGCGCGAGCGCAAGCTGTTAGAAGTACTATGGACACGACAACCTTTGTCTCACGGCGCGGTCGATCGGTAGGCCCGGCTCACGGTGGCCACGCGGCTGCAGGCGGTGGTGCGAGGCACCCGTGCGCGGGCCAAATGTGCTGCGCTGCGAGCGCGCGCCCGGGCCGCTATGCTGGAAGCCCGCGCTGTCGAAGCTGCCGCCACCCGCGCCTGCTTCTGCGCCGACGCACTGGCTGCCTACACGGAGCAAACCGTCGCGTACCTCTCCACCGAGCTCGTCAAGCGGATACACGTCGAAGCGTTCGCTGCCATTGACGCCAGCGTGCAGCTCTCGTGGATCACAGCGGCCAACGACGCTGCCTCAGAAGCTTCGGCGCTGGCAGCGCGTGAGGCCGAGGCAGCAGCCAAGGCTGCCCGGCTCGAGAGCGAGAAGCGCGACCGCGAGACTCGGCGCCTCGAAGCCGCAGCGGCCGCCGAGGCTGCGCACCGCCAGCGCCGCGACAAGGAGATCGCGGACGCCAAAGCCAAAGCCAAAGCCAAAACCAAGGTCGTCGACGCGGTGGTCGCACCGAGGAAGGACAAGCGACGGCTCAACGAAGCCCAGCTCCGCAAGGTGGCCGCGGCGCTCAACGCGAGCCGCGAAGACCGGGACAAGACTCGACAGGAGCTCATCGAGCAGAAGCGACTACTGGACGTTCAAGAGCACGAGAAGGCTCTGCTGGCGGCCAAAGCGGACGCGGAGAAGCGGGAGCGGCTCTTCCGAAAAAGCTTGACCCATGCGCCGTACGTCCGCGGCAGCTTGAGCTCGAGCGTCCGCGCCTTGCACATTGCCGAGACGTACCGAGGTAGATTCCTCTGTCCCCACTTGTTACGACTCGAGTCCTAGTCCTCCCCGGGGACATCAAGCCCCACTACGTGCTCGACGAGAGCGTGATGGACCCCGCGACGAGTCTGCCAACTGAGGATGGCAGCCGGAGCACGTCCAAGTACCGCATCTTCCGTGACATCCGCCGACCGTCCATCCATGGCCTCAAGAGCCCTCGGGACGAGCCCAACCAGCGCAGCTAAGACACTCACACGTACAAAAATCACGGATACGTAATCGTAGAAGTTGCTACGTCGAGTTGGTGTCGTTGAGGCGCTCCGACTCTTTGCGGTACTTGCGCAGGAGGTACGAGAGCTGCGTCGACGTCGGGCGCTTCTTGGGGTCCGTCTCAAGGCACGCGACGGCGATCGCGACAATCTCTTTCGGGCAGTCCTTGGTGAAGCTCGGCTTGAGCGTGCCTTGCACGACGCCGGCCATGATCGCATGGTCTTGGAGCTTGGAGCCGTTGGTGTGCGTCGCGTCAAAGTACGGCACGTTGCACGTGTCCATCTCCGAGAGGACGCAGCCAAACGAGTAAATGTCGACGGCTTCGTCGTAGTGGGCGCCTTGGATCACCTCCGGGGCCATCCAGCGACACGTGCCGACGCCCGCCGTCATGGTGTCTTCGAGGTTGCGGTTGCGCGAGATACCAAAGTCCGAGAGCTTGGCCCCGTTCTCCGCATCAATGAGGATGTTGCGCGACTAGATCGAAACTGTGAGATGCGAATATACCAGATACCAGATTCTAGAGTCTGGATGAATGGACCTTGAGATCGCGGTGGATAAACTTGGGGTTGAGCGAGTGCAGGTACACGAGGGCGTCGGCGACGTCGATCGCGAGGTGGAGTTTGATGTTGGCCCACGTGAGCACCGTGCCGTTCGCATCGTTCTTGGTGCTGCTGCGGTCGAGGAGCGACTTGAGGTCGCCGCAGTTCATGTACTCGCAGATCGCTTGGATCGAGAGCGCGTTGGACCACGCAGCGCCAATGAACTCGACGATCTTTGGGTGGTTGAGGCGCGTCATCATCTTGATTTCCATTGCAAAGTTCATGGCGTCGTCCCACGTCCGCTTCTCGGGCAAAAGGCGCTTGATGGCCACGGGCCGGCCGAGGTAGATGCCGCTCCAGACTTCGCCAAACCCACCGCGGGAGATCAGCTGGATCTCCTGCACTTCCTGGTAGTCGATGCGCACGGCGAGGAGCTCCGGGTCGCTCAAGAGGCCGAGCGACGTCGTGTCGCGGTAGTGCGAGTCGGCCGAGACGTAATGGTTGGACGTGCCGCCGGTGCCGTCCGTGCCGAGCGACGTGCGGCGGCCGTTCTTCCCTTTCGCGCCTGCCTGGCGACGGTGCCGAAAGAAGCAGAAGACACCGAGAGCAACAATGACCACCGACCCGAGTGCGATCAAGACAATGGCCACCGAGCCTAGAGAGGTGTCCGTGGGTTCGCTGGTCATGCAGGACGACGAAAACATACTCATGGACGAATTGGCGTCGGCTGACTCGACGCCCTTGAAGCAAAACTGGGCGCTCGTCAAGGCCTTGAGCCGGTCGGGGGCGACGCCCGACCCTGCCGGACACGTCGTGACGGTGAAGTCGGCGCTGAATGTTTTGAGCTTGCGGAGCTGCGTGGTCTGCGTGTCGTCGAGGACGACATTGGAGAGCGCGTTGCCCTGGAGCCACCTAATTTGGTCGGATGAGGCGCCATGCCCATGGCAGTCGAAGCGGGTTACAGCTCTTGAAGGCCCGTCACGCTCAAGGCGGTGTACGGGAAGCTCGTGAGCTTGTTACGCGAGAGGTCCCTAGCCCAGAGTATGTGAGTGCGCTGTTGTGCTGATGCATCAGGCGTGGCGTACAGAATCTGGACAGTCGGGGGCACCTCGGGCATCGACGTGAGCGCGTTGCCGGCCAGGAGGAGCTGGCGCACTTTTGTGATGGAGTCGACCGGGACCGACGCCAAGTTGTTGTCCGTCATGTTGCTAAGCACAGGTGAGCTGCGGGAAAGGTTGCATGCATCTTGACGTACAGCACGGCGAGTGACGGCATGGCCTTGACGTCGAGCGGCAGCGACGTCAAACCCGCATTGACGAGGGACCTAGGACGCGTGTCATGAGACGCGCCGCGACAAATCATGCTTGTACAGTTGCTCGAGGCTGTTGGGCAGAAGACCCGTGACGCCCGGCGCGAGCGTGCCCGAGAGGTTCATGTTGACAAAGTACCTACCAAGCCGACCTCACATGAGAATAGATTGCCGCACGTAGGCGTCGTACAGGCGCGTGAGGTGCGTGGCCGTGCCAAAGAGGCCTGGCGGGTACGTGATCGTGCGCATCGCGCCTTTCGGCGATGTAAACCCGTTGCCCGTGAGCTGGCTACACATCCATGAGCGCAATCCAGCGAGTGGGACGTGTCGTACAAGGACTGCACGCTGGCAAACTCGTCCGAGCCAAGCGACCCGAGCTCGTCGATCGGCGCGCCGGCAAAGGTGGCATCGGTGCTAATCGTGAAGTCGGCGACCGAAAAGTGCCAGAACAGCTTGTCGTCCTTGCTGCGCGAGTGCAGGTTCGGGCACGTGTACGTGAGCACGCACTCGGTGGCGCCTTGCAGCGGGAACTCGTCGCCCGTCGTGCAGTTGCCCGACTGCGTCGATGGCAGCGCCTGGCAGAGGCTCTTGGTCTTGAAGAGCACGCAGGCGCCGGACGGCTGGTTCTTGCAGGCGCCGGGGCACTGGCTGCCGGCCACGAGGACCGTCGTCTTGAGCGCACACGCCGACGACATGCTGCGGAAGCGAATGCGAAAATGCAGCTGGCAGCGAGCACGTTCGACGGGTGTACGGGATTGGATGATGTACGTACGTTGTACGACTGCAATGTACGGCGCAACCCCCTGCAACCACGTGACCCGCTCCTGCTAGTACATTTCGAGCTGGTCGTCATTGTGCTGGATTGCGAGCCGGCGAGACGGAAGGACTGCAGCTCCAGCGACAGCTGCAAGGAGCATCGAGCGCGAGCCGTACGTTCGTACATTGGAGTGTACGGTACGGGATGCGATGGAAACACAAAAACCTGCGACACACCATGGCAAGCAAATCGACTAGAAAAGATACTAAAGAACTCGAATCCAAGGACAATATTGGTTGACAGATTCGTAGGACTTTAGCAGTGGATCGAGATCGAAGAGTCTAGCCTTGGATAGTGATGAACGCACATATCCTTGGGCCAGGGTGCGTCGACCACCCACTGGTTTTGGTCGAACGGGCGAGCTTTGGCTACTCGAAACTCGGATCATTCGCACCTGGTGGCAGTGTCGTGTGCTTACGACAGAATCCGGCGTCGTCAAATGTGGTCGACGCGCCGCGGGATCTGCTGCGTGCTCGATGGCTCCATGCTGCGCCGGATTACCTGGTAGAGTGAAGAGCTGTCTCTACCTTGCAGAGAAAGCCTCTCGCGAGTCGATTGTAGTCGAGATGTTTTGCGGCACAAGTCATCTCTGCGCATTTCGACAGAAACGAACTAGTAGGTCCAGCGTTTGTGGTCGATATACCAACGACACGACGTTGGTTGGGATGTTTGGGATGCATTCGACTAACTAAAATAACATTTTGGCAGCTCGCGCATGGCTTGACAACGACGCGTCAGCCTTCCGCCGAAAATTAGCATCCAAATACTATTGCGCCAAATATCCACAAGCGTGTCAGCCCATTACACCGCTCATTCGAAAATGATAGAACTATGATCATCGGGGGACTACCTCGTAGGATGTGGGTGGAATAGAGACCAGGCATTGGCTATAATTCGGAAATGGAGACCAGGCATTGGTCGAATAGTGGTTAAAGGGCACAGACCGGAGACCAGGCATTGGTCAAAATTGAAATAATTCAACGTGACACTCGAAGTTTGAAGCCAGGATCTTCGCTTCTTCGACATGAACCCGCCGAGCGTTGCGGCGGTTGAATCGGCAGTTGCAAACGATGGACTCCCGCAGCTCGGCGGCGAGCGGCCGACGATGCACGCGCGCGTGTGCGACCTCACTCGCTGGCCATGCTTGTCTGTCGTAGTGTGCTGTCCAAGCCACGCGCGCTCCTGTTGCACGGCGGCCAAGCGAGCGCAACGAGTGGCGTCGTACGAGACGACGTTTCCGTCACCAAGCTCGATGCGCTACCACGTCTTGGTGACCACTACGCGACTATGACTCTCGACGACAGCTTGGAGCGCCATTGGCAGCGCGCGATCCCGAGACCTCGAGACCTGGCAACTCTGCGCGGTGCCACACCATACACGAACCGGTACATTGCAGTCACATCTCATACATTGCTGGATGTAGCGTAGCAGTGGCTAATCTCGATCGATATTATCTTATGCTAGTGATGTCTTTGACGAAGGCAGCACCATGCATGTTGCTTGCGCGTCATCGATTGATCTGCGTCAAAGGAGACCAGGCATTGGCTGCTCGATATTTAGAGAATAGGCATTGGCTTTTCCATATTTCGAGACCAGGCATTGGCTGATTGCCAAAAAGAGCTGCCCAAGGTGGGCGGGTATACAAATTGCAAGTCATGCCTTTTGGAGTCAAAAGGTACACTTGAATTTTGTATGTGCGATGAAATGGAGCTTGAATCGCGATGGTGCCACTGCCAGTGGGACGCCCGCGACAACGAAGCGGCCATTGATCGCGCCGTTCGAGCGTCGAACTTCCCTCTTCCTTTTTCTTCTCCTCTTCGATTTTAAAAGGCACAAAGTGTTATCTCCCCACATCCTAAAGGGTACTCGCCGATCATCGCACAGCAAGATCCGCAGTCGTAGCGATACAAGCAAACGACATTTGGCACCATTGACAGGATGAATACACGCAAAGCTCTGTGATTGCCGCCTAAGCGAGGTCGTAGGCAGCGTCCTTGCACTGTGGAAGCTACTACCTAGTTGAAGAAGGCGATTTCTTCATTCCACCAAGGTTGTCGAAGCGACCAAGGTCGAGTTGGGTGTTTTTAGCGTCTGCATCTGACAAGCTATGCGATGGCTCTTTTCGCACGCACGTTGAATGAACCGTTTCGCCAAGATCGCAAGCCGACAACGATGGACGACGCTGCTTGGGGGAGATGGGAGATGATGCTTCTGCATGGAGACAACGATGGGCCTCCGCCATGAGCCTACGCGAGACAGGCGATGGACGCGTCCCCTCCGCGACCCTCGTGATCGGCCATGCTGCATGCGCCAGTAGAGCACCGGTAAAACGACCGCCCTCATGACCTGCCAAACGACGGTGAGGACCACGTGTAGGTGGAGAAAGCCGACTCATGTCGATGCTAGCAGTCGAATGAAGTGCATGGCGTCGCCAGGTCGCTCCTCGTCGCTATGTCAAGCTTTTGTCGCTCGGCAGAAGCTTCCCACGAGACGAGCAAGAACCAGGGCGCAAGAAACGAAGCTACCAGCTTGTCGTGCACCATCCAGCAAATTCGAGAGGCCGTGCGCCCAACGAGCAATCTCGCTGGCTCGAGTCCCTTGCCTTGTCCCAGCTCAACGATACGAGTCCACCAGCGTTCGGACCATTCTGCGCGACCTGTCCCGCCATGTTCTCAACGGTCGCTTCTCGCGCGAGCTTCTCTCGACGCCATTGTGCCATTGTCCCTCGACTACGAAAATGGCGTCGCGCATGACTGTCGCGACGAGCTACGAGAGCTTGTCCTGCTACCACCTCTTGCGCATGGCCGTCGAAGACGACGCCGGGGCGGTCGTGTTCCAGCCAACGCTCGTCGAGTCGGAGCTCCTCCGCCTTCTCGGCGCGCTGCATGTGGTCGATGGCGCCAAGAAGATGCCAGTGGAAGAGCAGCTCGGGCGCTTTGTTGACGCTAGCGACGCCGATCGGAGCATTGACGTGGTGGCCTGCTTCGGGAAGCAAGCCGCGGTCCAAGTCGAGCTCCGCCAGCGCGGGTGGTGGCTCACGAAACTCGAACACTATTTGCACGCGGACGACGAGGGCGTGTTCGTAATTGTGCTCCCCGATGCCCGGCCCAAGGTCGTGCTCTTTACGTGGCTGCTGGACAGCGCCTTTGCGCCCGAGTACTTGCGCGAGCGGGCGACATACGCGCTGCGCTTTGTGACGACGCTGACGTCGACGGTGCTGTGCTGCCTCACGGACGCCGACTGGACTGCGCTTGAATTGGCGGCGGCGGACGAGACGAACGACATTGGCTCGAGCTGGATGAAGTACTCGGTCGAGTTTTCGATTGCAGAGGCGGCAGTGCAAGACGAGATCGTGACGTGCGTTGCGCTGCCGACAACGACGCAACTGCCGCAAGGCCTTGTACTCGTGTCGTCGACGGGTCCGACAGCCGTGACATTCCGCGTGGCATCGGAGACCAGCATCACCACCAAGAAGGGTGTCGTGGGGCTGACGCCACCCACAGCCTTTGCGAAGTGGCTGGTCGATGCTGCGACAACGCACCGCCTTGAGCTGAAAGTGGGTCTCCCGAAGCCGTGTATGAAGGCGGCGCTAACAGCGTGGTGCGCGTGGCCAACGTGGGCACTGGACCGCGTGACGATTGCGGGCGTCCGCAACGACATGCGCCCCGACGTGACGACGAGGGTCGAGTGGGAACTGCACGACTTCCTCGCGCGTTTCTCCCACAATGCGAAGGTGCTTTGTTACATGGCACCCGAGCCGCGCTCGGCAGTTGCAGAGGAGCGAGCTCACGCCGAGATGATGGCCGACTTGACGAGCCTCTCAAACCAACTCGCTGGAGAGTTGCCAATTCCAGCGGACCTCTCGTCACTTCCTGCCCATGTCAAAACCATGATCAACGCGGAAGGAGAGGCGATGTGGCGCGCGACCCCACGATCGGCTGGCATCAAGTCGTATGCCGACGCTACCAAGTCCCCAAGCCAGAGTTGGCTGGTCGCCGACCACTTTGAGCCGTTTTCGTTTCCGTTTGTGGGCAAGAGTCCCGCCGCCATGGACCTCATTGTGCCCCGTATCCTTGCAGACCTGAAGGCGTACTACGACAACTGGTTATCTGCGCTGCAAGAGTTTTTGTTCGAGCCAAAAGTCGCAAGTGCCATGGTCGAGCACGCGCTTTTGCAGGCGGACACGACTGCGACGCTCTGCTGCGCCCGAGATGCTCTCATCTACGAAGCCTTTGTCGCGGCTATTGACACGCGCAACCGTCTGCACGCGGCAACGGCGCTGACGACGACGCTCGCCAAAGGCGCCGACGCGGAGCACTTGAGTGTTGCGCAGCAGCATATTGGCGACGGTGGCCAAACGCTGTACCTTACGCACCAAGACGGACGCGCGCTCGCCCAGCTGCACTTGCCATTGCACGTCCGCATCTTGCTCGTCACGGTCGTTGACGCCGTTCTTGTCGTCGTCTACACGGACGACACCAAGACGACAGTGCGCTCGTACACGCTGCATGGGCCACGCTCGCTCAAGAAGCACGTGTCGAAGCCGTTTCCGCATGTGGTCGAGCGCTGCGACTTTGACCCGACGCAACGCACACTGGCGCTTTTTCACAGCGACACCTTTGTCGACCTGCTGACGTTTACCCCGACATTCACGAAGCTCCTTGGGCGCTCGCAGCGCGTGGATCTGCGCGTGCTGCGTCCGTTGCCTCCGTTTCGAGACGTTTTGATGTTTGGCGGCGACCAGCCTGGTCTCTTGTGCGTGGGCGACGATGGCAGCGCGCAGTCGTACGTGCGGCAGACGCGGCAGCTGTCCAAGCACGTACCCAAGTTTGTCGCCACACCGACGACCAAGGTGGTCAAGTTCAAGGACGGCGCGTTCATCGTGCGCCTCATGCCGCTGACCGACCAGTCCCTTCGCGTGCAAACGATGACCACGCACACCCTCGCGCCGCTGCCCGAGACGACGGTTGCGCTACCGTGTCTCCTCGACTGGAAAGCTACCGAAGCGCGCGCCTATGCCGACACGATCCTGCTCCTGGACCCGACGACGGGCGCTGTGGTGGAGCTCCAGCTGACGGTGGTCTCTGGTCAACTCGCTTGGGAGCTGCAGTGCGCACAGCAAGCGGCGCCAGCCAATTTGAACGAGTCGTCGCTGCTCTGGGCTGTCTTCCACGTGTTTGAGAAGTTTCCCGTGCGCGCCATGATGGACGAGACGTCGAGCCGCCCGGCGCTGCAGCTGCGAGCCCACGCGTCGTCGCCGGCGCGTCGCGAAGTGTTTTTAACGACGTTGGACGCGGTCATGACCAAGCTCGGAAGCCTCCAAAAAGACTTGACGCCGCTGGCGCTGGCCAAGGACGCAATCGTGGACGCGTCGCTACTGGTGTGGCCGACAATGGCGCTTGCACCGTGGATCCTCGAGCTCGTGGGCTTTGTGCCCGTGCCCATTTGTCGCGCGCAGGACAACCAGCTCCTTTTGCTGCGCGACGGCGTCACCATGGCGTTTCGCGACGGGTCGGAAGCGCACACGCTGGCGCCGCAGATTGGCTTTGGTGCTGCGAGCCACGTTCTCCGAGCGTGGAGTGGCCCTGTCGTCGTACTCACGTCGATGGGGAAGCAGTCGACTGGCAAGTCCTACTTTTTGAACCACCTCACGGGCAGCTCGTTTGCGATTTCCGGCGCGCGCTGCACGGACGGTGTGTGGCTCACGCTGCGTCAATTGGGTCGGTGCCTCGTGGTTGTGCTCGACTTCGAAGGCCTCGGGTCGTTTGAGCGTTCGGCGCAAGAAGACACACTGCTCTCGGTGCTCAACGCGGCCGTCTCGCGCCTCACAGTGTTTCGCATCGAGATGCGCTTTGACAAGGACGTGGACGGTATGTTTGCGAAGTTTCAGCAAGGCGTCGCGCTGCTCAAGGGCGACGAGCGCCTTTTCTGCGGCCGTCTGCTTCTCAACGTCAAGGACGTCAACCCGCACGACCAAGCGTCGGTCGTTGCCGAGTTCAAGTCGAAGCTCGAGGCGGTTTTGAGTGAAAACAAGGCCAACAACTTTGTCAAGGTCATGTATGGCGGCGGCACGACCATCACGTGCTGTCCACCGCTTGGCAACCAAGGCTATTACGATGCGCTAGAAGAAGCCGCTTGCAGCTTGCACGCTGCGCGCGCCAAGGCCTATGCGAACGGCGCCGACTGTCACGACACGCTGAACATGGTGCTGGCCAAGATTTCGCTGCTCGACTGGACCGACATGGGCGATAATGTGCAAGCCCACAAGTTGGCGCAGCTGTGCGACGACATTCGCCATGCTCTGCGCTATGGCTGTCTCGACGATGACGAGACGCTTGGCCCGGACGACGATGCGACGATGACGGCCCAGCGACAAGCCATGGTCTTCGATTCCCATCTCGACCTGCCACCCGACGAGATGCTCGAGTTCGAGCTGGATGCAGCCGACGACGACGTGGCGTCGACTCTGGCGTCGGCAAAAACCATCTTGTTGTGCTACCTGGAGCAGTTTCTGATGCAAGTGGACGCACCGCGCAGTCTGGTGCTGGAAGCGCGCTTTGATGTTGTGTGGAACTTTGTCGTCTGGCGCCGCGAGTACCGCGTGCGGTCGTGGTTTGCGTCGCTCGCAGCCAGTGGCCGCGACGAAGCCGATTTGCTGGACGTTTGCGTGCGCCGGATGAAGCAGTACCTGCGCCGCTGCCAGCACACGTGCGCCAAGTGCCAGCTTGGGTGTTTTGAGTCGATTTTGCACGAAGCCAACGTCGACCATGACTGCGGCACAGACCACACGTGCGCAGGCTGCTGCTCGTACTGCACGGCGGGCAATGTGCCGTGCGGGGCCGCCGCCGGACACACTGGCCCCTGCAACTGTACATACGCCAACCACACGTGCACGTCCCCCTGTGTGATGGCGAGTGCGAGCAACTGCGACGGCGACTGCCACCTGCCCGTCGACCACGACGGACCGCACGCGTGCAACGTGGCCGAGCATCGCTGCAGCCACGCGTGCACGGCGCCCGACTGCCGCAGTCTGTGCACGCAGCTCTTTGCCATCACCCACGATCGTCACGACTGCGGATCGTCCAGTTGTATGCGTGGCTGCAGCATTGCGGGGTGCTCTCGCCTGTGCCATGTCCAAGACCACTTTCATGCTGCCGGCCATACCTGCGGCGCGGACCACCGATGCGCCACCGAGTGCGCGGCCGACGGCTTATGCGAGGTCAAGGTGCAGCGTACGCCGACGACCTTTGAGGGCGGCCGTGGCACGTTTGAATACACGCAGCAAACGATGGTCGGCGTGCGCAAAAAGTGTGCGGCCTTGCTGCCAGTCGGGGCGCTCGATCACGACGGCGCCGCGCACCGCTGCGACGCGACTGACCACACGTGCGCTGCGCAGTGCCCGTGTTGCCGCTACTACTGCACCAAAGCTGTCGGTCACGCGGGTTTGCACGCGACGTCGCACGGCAACATGACGGAGACGTACTTTGTCTCGGATGTTGCCAGCGTTGACATTGCCGGACGGGCCTACGTGGCGGGCGAAGACGGCGTTGCCGAGATGTGTCCTTTCTTTTGTTCGAAGATGGGACGCGGCCACGTGCACTATGTCCCGTGCGACCACGCGAGCGCCGATCTCTGCAATGCCTCGGACGGGCGCCGCCACTGCACGACGGCGTTGGAGCCACACCCGACACGGCCCATGGACGAAGTGCTCCACGCAACGTACTGGAAGATGCAAGGGTGGGAGGACCCGGTGGCAAGTGCCATGGACCGCAACGCCTTTGGCTTGTGTCCGTACCAGTGCGCGGCCCCCAGCCACAAGGAAGGCGAGACGTCATTTTGCACGTTGGAGGCCTGGCATGCGCCGGTGGTGGCCAACGCGCCGCCCGGCCACACACTCGCGCGCGGCCACGTGCTGCCATGCACGCACACGGCGCATCGCGGCCAGGTGCACCACGTGTTTGTCCTCGACACGTCGGGCTCGATGCGCGGCCAGCGGTGGACTGACGCCAAAAACGCTGTGTACGAATACATTGCTCAGCAGCGCGCCAAGAAGGGGGCCATGTACCCCGACATTGTGTCGGTCATTTCCTTTAGCGAAGGCAGCCAAATCGTCTACGAAGGTCGGTCGCTGTGCAAGATGGGCCGCAAGACGTGTGCGGCGATTCCGTTTCGCGGCTTCGGCACCAACTACAATGACGGTCTGCGCGCGGCGATCGAGGTGCTGTCGCGCAACGACCACACGACGTACACGCCGGTGCTGCTCTTCTTTACGGACGGCCGCCCCCACCACGCGAGCAATGGCGTCGACTTGGCACGGCA